TAAGACGCTGTCTGGTCAATTCACGTGCTCAACATCCGCCCATACTTCCATCTCAGCATCACGAACCTCGTCACCTTCGTGAGTCGCCAGTGGTGTTGCAGATCCTGCCATCTCGATCTTGTTGGTGCTTAACTATAGAATGCACCGTAGAGGATCTGCCGCACGCACTCAATCACTGACATTCCTTCTCCTTGTTGATGTCTATTTACGATATCCAATTTCACGTCCAACGAATTGCCACACGTGATCTTTTAGCAACATTGCTGGGAGGTTTTAGTAGGTCGATAGGCATTAGAGCACACAAAACACAATTGTGAAATCTCACAAACACACGCCAGCACATGGGAGCAGGGCTGATTAAGGCCAATTGATGCCCTAAACACAGCCCAACAATGGTGCCCTCAGCCCTCCCATTGCTTAACTGACAAGATATTAAGACCATGATTAAGACTCAATGAATACTGATGTTGAAATATGAGATAAAAATTCAGGTTTCTTCCAGGCCCTCCCACAAACCAGATCCTACAATTGTTTTAAATATACAGTAAGGGGTTTTATTTATTCAAATACTTACAAAATTTTAACATATTGCATGTACATGGATTAAAATCGCCTTATAATACTTATAAATTTACTTATACTTTAAACATTTTTCTTCTACTTTTTTAATTGCAAAGTTTGAATAAGTCCTCAAAACTAATCTGCCGTAAATAAATCTGCTTCTATGCTTAGCAGAGACAAGGCATCCAACCTCTCTTGTCGTATAATTGTTCTGTATGGATTTTAATATGCTGAGAAAACGAATGCTCAGCTGTGCAATTAGAGCATAAATTTAAAAAATATACGTAAATGCAATTTCTACATTTGGAAAAGCACATTCAAGTTTGTCTTCTAAAATTATTTTATAAAGTTCAGTGACTTAATCCGGTTTACAGTTTCAGTTGCACTGAACTTATGGTGCACATATGAGTGAAACTGCTGAAGCTCACTAGAGAAATTAATGTCCAAGTCCTCTGGGTAAGCATCAGCAATCATTAAAAACTTGTACTGTAGTAACAAAAATCTACAGGGTATAATGCACGAATTGGTTCCAGAATCTCGCTCATATAGCATTCGTCACATAGGATTAATCCTTCCAGGCCCCAAATACAACTCACACTGAAAAATTCTGTGAAATGTAAAAATACGGTACTTTATCTTACCTTAGTGTTATTCAGCATGCAGGTACCCTAAACACTGGCACATCACTATCACTTCCACTGGGAGTCTTGGCTTTAAGGTCCTCAAACAATTGTTTAGCCTTCTACAAATTATAGTCACTAATGTTACCACCTGCCATTTTTCTCCTTTATCCACACTAAGAGTAAATTTTCCATCTCTTCAATCACATTACACCTTGTCTTGGGTCTAAAGATTCCTTTAGCCACTGTACAGCTTTTAACCTCTTTATTCTTCAAAATCGTACATATAGTCGATTTAGCCATCCCATATTCATCACTAAGTTTCGCAATGCTTCTTCCATTCTCACGCTTTTATAATTTCTTTTCTTAGTTTCAAGGGTTATTAGCTTCACCTCGCTTTGGACGACTCATTGTTACAATTGTATACTTGTATAACAAAATAGTTATACAAATAATGCGAATTCCATCAAAGACGAAATTTCAACAATAACAGTGGTGCACTGGCCAATGAGACAAAGATGGCGCCTGACGCTTTGTTGTGGGTCATACAACAATATTCATGCGCCAGGCTAAATAGTCCGGATTCATCCGTTGCTGTAGGAGTTATGCTCATAGCATTCTCAATTTTATAGGTAAAACCGCTCGTTATAGGAATATTCGAGTAGGATCCGTTCATATAGCATACCCACTGTACTTTCTAAAACTTTTAAATTTCATAATATTCTTTGCACACAAAGAAATACGGTTTTATTATAATTATGAATGGGTTCTTATAAATATAGACAATTCCACCCACAATTATAATATCTCCGTTAGCGGATCCCTCAAACCGAACTCTCCCATAGCGAGTTGAAATTTTCCAAGGGCTCATTTTCCGGAAAATTATGAGAAAATTTTCGATACCCAAAAATTCCGGATGGTGGATTCTTTTACAGGTTTGAGGAAATCAGGGAGCACTGGAAATAACGAGAAAAATTTTCCGTTACCGGAAAATTCGGGGATGAGGATTTTTACGGCTTTGAAAGTCGTCTGCATTACCGAAATCTCTCATTCACACAATACATAGATATGAAAACTGAAAAAGAGCTAAATTACATTAATTACAGTATTCTTTTTCTTATGTGAAATTACAACCTCCCGACATCTGACCACCCGCACTTTTGACCTGCCTCAGTCGTACAAAAATTTTGTAAAATTCGTAATTTTGAGTCCTAATGTCAGTACAGACAAAATTTTTCATTTGTAATTCACTTTAAAATGGCTGGCAAGCTTAAAAGTGAGAGTTTTGTGGTGCTGAGAAGAAAAGCGACACCCATTTTACATTTTCTATGTATTATTTAAGCATTTTCAACTTCGACCTGGATTTGGGTCCCTAACCCTTGTAGTAAGTCGGGAGGAGCTGTACATGATACAGGTCGGGCAGCATATTTACTGTAAGCCAGATGAGACTCAACCTTCCTCGCTGTAGTTGCCAGATTTCATATTTCACATAAACTCTAGAAACTAGGTTAATGTGAAAGATGAACTCTGGTAACTACAGCGAAGGAAGGAGGAGAATGATTCATATCATAACCAGTCAAGCAGTCAATAGCACTGCAGTTAAGGCCAGTTTCTTGTTATTAGTAGTATTATGGATCGTTTTGTGAAGAGGGAAGGAGAAGGAGTCTGTGGCGGCAGCAGTGATCCTGCCGCTGCTGACCAGGACATGGACACGGAAGTTGAAGTGACTGAGACTGTTGATAGCCAGTCCACTGAGACTGAGGCCAGTGGCAGAGGCATTTTTGTAATTTTGTCAAAAATATTGAAAATATTAACTTTTGTATCAGTTATATTTTTGTTTACTTGTAAATAGGCAAATTTGTTTATTTTAGTATTTACTCTTTTTTTATTTTTAAAGTTGTGGCGTTGTGCTTGTGGCAAATTTTTAAAGTGGTTATGTGCAACTATTTCAGCAGAGTTACGGTTGCAACCCCAAAAAAATTGCATGTGCCCACCTTTGGTCATTTGACTAGGAGACAATTTCTTACCACCCTGTAATGAGAATACATAGGGGCCTCGATTAGGGAATTTGGTTAACCATTCTTGAAGATTCTTAACTGGGCACAATATATGAGGAACCCTTGTCTCATCCATTAGCCACTTTATCCTGATAGGTTGAGCTTGAAAATCCTCCCTTGTATTTAAATGATTATTAGATGTTTTAATTGCCTGTATATTGGCCTGGCAAGTTAATGCTAACATTTACATACCTAAGTATAAAGCGAGACGTCGCATTCTGGACTTTATCACAAAAACTGGTTTCTAGAAAAAGCGGCTTTTTCCTTTTCAATTTCTGGGAGGAATGGGTTAATGCCCATTGAAGTGAATACAACCTTTGCTTCTTCATAAAGTGAGGTCATTTATCTCAAAATCTGTAAATCACCCTGGAGATCCTTTAAATTCCTAACTTCAATATCTAGGGTAGAACTTTGAGCCTGTAACACCTGATATTTTGAGTTGAACATTTTAAACCAGAAACCTGCCATCAAAACACTTCATAGAACAACACATAATGTATAGCACCTGTCACATCCATTTTAGCCTTCACTGTCCAGCTCTTTAGTGTTGATATTTCTTTGAGAGCAGAAACAATGCCGGTGAAATGATGAGCAAAGGGCTGGACACTGGCTACTCTATCTGTCCATTGTGTCCCTGATAACCTGTAAAGAGATGCACCTTTGTGATTTCTGAGCATCTCCCACTATTTGGGCTTGCTACAACAAAGTGTGTAAATAGTCTGCATCATCCCTCCAAAATTACTGCCTCTTTGCAACAAGCAGCAATATCTACATCACACAAACTTAGAGAATGATTAAATGTCATAAAATAAACAAACAATCAGCAACAAAACTTTAAGCCAGTTGCAGCAAAAGCCAGCCGTTCTTTTTATTATGCTATGGGCCTCAGTGGCTCAGCTCAGTCACTGTAACTGGACAATTAACACCAATTAATTTTTTCCACATTAATTCTTCTTAAGCAGGATATAGTACTGTAACTATATTTATATAATTATACAGTGTAGGTATTATATCAACAAAAACTAAGTTTATCAATATGTAAAAAGAAAATTAAAGTGTGTTAATTTCACTTTACAATGATGTAAACACCAAAACACCACGTTGCAAACAGTGTCTCCTGTAACTGATATAGGAAGCTGCTTTTCCACATACAAGGCTACAGCATTGTCTCAACAGTCAGTACTGACTTGCATTGAATATTTTCTTACACAGACAATACATTTGTGTATCATTACTGAATGAATATTCTTCCAAAATGTAATAAAATAATGTACTTTATTTCCTTGTTTTGGAAGCGTTAAGATAAACCTAAGTTGCTCATCCTAGCAGAAACTCGCGTACCCCACTGGGCGTGCTAGTAGCTCTTGAGTTCATGATCACATGCACGTCTTGAAGACTTCGTACTGTACAGTGCGTAGCTCAGTTGCTGACACTGTGAATGACTTGAGAAAATACTATTGCAAATTTCCTTGCCCCTTTAAGTTTCCACAGATATGAGATATCCTTTTCCATATGAGTGCTTGTTATATATTTTAATACATAATGTTTATATATTGTAAAATAATATGTAATTTTTGTATAGTCTATAGAATGCAGGATGCACTAAGCTGCACGAATCCCTGGCTACCTTTGGGCATGGGCCTGTGTTTTGGTACTACAGTGCCTGTAGTATTACCATTCTCCTCATGGGCCCTGCTTTACTGTGCAGTACTGTACTTGGTAATTTATGCAAAAACTATTATCATCTATTATTTTGTTGCAGGTGACAATGTCTTTGTGGAACAGAGCACAGCAGTTGCCCCAGATGCCCTCCGTCAAGTTCAAAATGTTTACGGTGAACAGTTTCCAATTGAGGTGCGACATTATCTGGCTGGGTGGATAGAAGATAAAATGCCCCAGTGGTAAGTACATTTAACTATTGTTATTTAAAATGATTATACTGTACATTGCAAGAGTCTGCTCTTTATCATATGTAGTATACAGTACAATAAAGTACTGTACCTTTGCAGTATGTGAGTTAGCCTTCATTTATAATGCCTTAAGGTACATATACAGTATACAGTACTGTACAGTATATATTATAAGAATGATACAATACTATACAGTATAGGGGTCTCCGACTTACTAACGTCCAACTTATGAAAGCCCACCGTCTGACGGTTAAACTTTAAATTACAGTATCTTATTTACCTGATGACTTATTTTTTACTTTAATTTACTGTATTTTGTCATTCTATTTCTTCTTTTGTCTTAAATTAAGTGATTTTAGATATATGTAAGGACTTAGGGTAGCACTCCTCGACTTCGGCGAGGTTAGGGACCCAAATCCAGGGTCGTAAGTCAAATTATTCATAAGTGAAAATGCTTAAATAATACATAGAAAATCTAAAATGGGTGTCTCTTTTTCTTCTCAGCACCACAAAACTCTCACTTTAAGCTTGCCAGCCATTTTAAAGTGATTTACAAATAATTTTGTCAGTACACAGCAATCACTAACGTCGAGGTCGAAAATCGTAATTTGACAAAATTTTGGTATGACTGAGACGGTAGTATGTCGGGTGTTCATAAGTTGAGTAGGTCATGTAAGTCGAGGTAACTGTAATACAGTATAGTGGGATTTTAACATTGTTCTACAGTATAAGTATGGTATGCACATAGCATGTGTTCCAATACATTTCGTGTTAAGAACGTCCTTCTGAATGGGACCGTTCAGAACCTGGGTACCCTGTACAGTATAAATTTTGTTCATATAATTGGAGAATGACAGCATACTCTTGAGGTTAGCATAAGTCTGTCATGACCAAATATTTATGTCGCAACCCTTAGTCTGAAGGTATCTTGAAGTGTCACTGTATTTTCTGGGAGGGTTCAGGTATTGAAATGTTTTAAGAGTTAGTTGTGATTAATAGACTGTAGATCAGCAGTAAAAGTTGTCTCAAGTTTGCCTCTGTTATATACTGTACAGGTGTACAGTACTTTAATAACCTGTAAATCATTCATCAAGTTACTTATCAGGCAGCTTCCGAGCACCCCTTGTGTCCATTTGTTTTGTCAAGGAGGTTGTCATTGTTCTGAGGCAGAGCCAATGATCTGATCACTGAAAACTTAAACATGGCTCACCAAATGAATGAGTAGTTAGCTAATGAGAATTTGAACTCATTTACAATCCAGCTGTGCCTCAAGAACATAATGGAGTCAAAACACTAAACATAAATAAATCATCAAAGTAAACTTGAGTCTTCTAAGTTCTTTATAAGGGGCAGAACTTATGTTAGTTCTTCAGAAAAGGAAGAGTGATTCTTGCCCTCAGTCCTGCAGGTTAGAAATGTAAAAAAATAATGTTGGGTTGACCCCCAATATTTCAATTTTTGTAGCCTCAGTAAACTTACATTTTGAGTTGCTTTCAAAACAAGATATCGTTACTGTGTTTTTAGATAATTTTCACATTTATTTTCATTCATTTACAATAACTGTTGCAAAAATAGTACTGGAAAGTACTGTGCTCTGCAAGGTATTGTACAATCATTAAAATATTTTCAAATATATTTACTTTACTCTTCAGTAAAGTATTTTGTTAGTTCAAATTTTATAGAATAATCTATCATTATTAAAGAAAAAATTATTTCAGGAAAAGAATAATGTAATCCAGTTATACAGGTATAAGTAATTACACAAGTTCGAGAAAGTCCTATTCATATATATTTTTTTTAGGAAGAAACCATTTACATCACCAAGTGCTGTACTTACCATAGTCTACATGGACTGGTTCAGGTTTAGGGATGGGATGCTTTATGACAGGGTTGTCAGTGCATCCTTCCTTTTCTCCGTTCTTTTTCAGTTTTATCTGCCTTTTGGTTTGAGAAAAGTGGTAGGGAGATAGTCTGTTGTTTCTCAAGAGTCCTTCATTTAAGTTTACTCGGTTGAAATTAAGTCCAGTTTTAGGTGATGAAGGGAGTAATTCATCTTTGAATCTGTGTTTGTGAATTAAGTTGTTCTTTTCTGCCAAAAGGTATTATGAGTAGGCTTGATGTAATAATTATAAATTAGATTATGCATTCCTCTAATACCACATATATTTATTTCTTAACAGGAATGAAATAGATCCAGAAAATGTATCTCACAGCCAGTATGCACATACTTTAGTATCACAGCTTATCAGGAGATGGAAAACAAAGCCCTCAGTTATAGCAACAATGAAGACCTTTTTCTTGTCCGTATCGCCTGGATGAAGCTGCAGCGTCATAGGTATGTTGCTTGTAAAAACTAGAAACTGCATTTTTATAGTTTTCTTGTTCAGACTATTCTCCTATCTTGTTATCTTCAGTTTTACACTTGTTTTGATCACTATTGTGTCTCATTGAAATGTGTGTAAAATTGGTTTAGGATAATCAGGGTTGAAATACACCCTTACCCGTTGTGTACAGTACTTGGAGAAATCTCAAATAGAAACAGACTTGTCCAAATGTGACTTCTTTCATCCATCAGACAATCTTATTTTTCCATACTTAGTACTGTTACTATCTCACACAACTGTAAATATATATGTTCAAACAAGCTCATGTTGTGAATTTTTTCCTTTTATTTATTAATTATTATTATTTTTTTTTTATTATTTTTTGATAACTTTAAGCCATAATTTATCATTGTTCAGAAATTCCCTAAATACCTTCCGGTGCATAATGTATTGTAGTATCCTTTGTATGCATTTTTGATAATCAGATCAATTTGATACCGTTTTGAATTGAGATTACCTATATACAAATTTTTGAAGATACTGTACTGTACAATTTTTTTCTATTAACACTATTGGGTTTTGGAGAGCTCTCCAGCGTCCGCTGGTCACTAAACTCACCGCACTTGACTGCACCACACAAGGGATAATTATGTAATGAATGAGTCATAGCAAGCTTGCTATTTGAGATAAAATGATGGGGTTGTTGCATTAGCACTGGAATTAAATTTTCTACAAACAGTTTTATATAAGTAATCACGCTAAAATAAATATTTCTATCATGTAGGCGCTGAATAGAACACAAAATGTTTGTTTACACTTAATGAAAAATTTTTATATCGCCACTTTATACCTGTGTTATTTCACATGTACTATAAAACCTTTTTCAGTGCAAACATGGTTCAAAAACGTTATCAAAAGTTTAAAAATTAATATTTCACTCAAGTAGTGGTGTAAATTGTATGCATTCTGATGGGCGTTCAGGCCAAGTACAGATTATTTTTTTTTCCTCCAGCGCAAAATATAATTTTATATATTAGTCTGCAGCTTCTGTTAAGATAAAATGATTGGGTTTGTTGCGTTAGCATTGTAAATACAAAATCTAGCAATAATTTAAATCATACACCAATTTATACAAAACTTCAAAAGTGTTAATGACATTGATTTACAGGCAAAACCCCAGTTACAAAAAGCCTTGTTTTTCTTCATAATGTTAGAAGATGCTTACTGCTGACACAAGATTGCTTTACATCTTACAATATGTACTGTACAGTATAGTCTCAGTGATGACCTGATAGAGACAGGTGGTTGATGACTGAATACTTCAGTTATATTAAAGATAAAAAAATTATAAAATTAGACTGATTCCTTTGATTCTGCTTCACATCTACCATGGTACAAAGCATGTAAGTCTCTGGGATATTTGCAAGAAGTTGTCTGTCATAGAATTGTGACACTTGCTTTATTGGCCCAACAAAGAGTATTAATGTCACTGAAGTGATGTTACACCAATGAAGGTGATGTTAATGACAACTGTGGTAAATTGTTGTGATGCTGTACTGTATCTATATTTTGGCCCAACACAAGAGAAAATTTTTAAATTATGGTCACATCAGAATTCCAAACTAATCAGGTCAAAGACTGAGGACATGGTACAAATTTGCCTCTGATTATATTGGTTGAAACTTTCATAATATGCTTTGACTTTGATGTGTCTGAACAACTATATTTTTGTCACATACTGTTTTGAAAAAATCTCTGTAAACAGTGCATGACTCAGATAATACATGTGTGTTGTTGATTAGCATCACACTATAATGTTATCACTGCTATTCTCACCTGTGAAAGGAGAATTGCAGAATATGCAATAGTATGTTCTTGGTTACATTGTGCCATAGGTCCCTGCAAAAAAGCAGTACTGTACTACCTCCTCACAAAGGTGATTTATAGTGATTAGAATGGGAATTTTATATCTAACTGTCATTAAGCAAACCAACTTTGAATTAACTAAGAGAACTTAAGGTTTTAGGTAATAATTATTTACATACAATATGATCTTTTTTATATGACGGTTGTGCCTTCACTAACCTTTTATTCTCAGCTTTGGGTCTTAGTGCATAATTTGTTGTGTGACATGTAAAATAAAATTTTTATGATGTTGATATATCAAGTACAAAGTGAATTCAGTTGAAATTTTGATAAAGTAGTAATTGATGAGTAATTAAATGATTCAGTGATAAACTCCTTGCACATCCATTATGTAAAAGAATCTGTACATGTCATCAGATAGTTTACACTTTTGATTTTATCTGAGTACAAGCAACTGATAGTGGAAGATAAGATTTTCATAGAAAGCCATTAAGTTTTCTACGTGAAGCCAGTTATGGAGGATCCGGATGAAGTGGTCAGGCTTTTATCTATGCTTCCTGTGGTGTTGATATGCAGTACAGTACCTGCTGTTGTCTCTTCTGGGCTTACTTAAGTTCAATTGCCTATTTTGAATATATTACTGATATGTAGGTTGGAAGATCAAGTTACATGAAGACTTAAATTATATGTATCATCTTTAAACAGGTATTCAATTTAAGTGAACTAAGAGATATTTGTTGTGATTAACGTAAAGAAGGCTTATTAGCCATATTTATAAAGTTCACGAACGATTTTTAAAAGTAAAAATTAAATTGTGTAAAACTAATAACTGAGGATTTAGCATTTTTTTTCCTTGCTACATTATAAGCCTGAGAGTGCATCAGGTCTCATTGTAAGTTTAATCATCTGCGTAAAAGGTTGAATGGCATACAGGATGTTTTCACCATTTGTCTGTCCATTATTCTCAATGGCATTGCAATGTTTACGCTTTCTGCATCTCAGACTTCGGAGATAGAACCAAACCAAATTTTATATACAGTATTGTTTATGTGGGAGGCAATATACAGCCTTTTTGGTGCTTGAGTCCTTCTTTCCTTCATGGCTGCCTTTCCTCATGCCATCTACCGAAATATGTACTACCTTACTCTTTTCATCAAACTCAATTTCTATTCTATCTGTATGTCAGTACTGTTCTATCTTAACCTAACCCTTAGCTCATTGACTTCCCTTTACATTTCCACATCTCTGTAAAATATAGTTTCATATTTTCATATTTTTACCCTATTCACCCTACATTTGTACTAGTACTGTATTTAGAAATATTGTATTTTTTTTAGATATATGTAACCTGTGTGCATATAAATCTTGAAATATTATACTTAATATGTTTTGTGCTTGCAGGAGAAAACTCGGATGCAACAAAGTAGTTTTTACATTAACTTATAAATATTGATGATAGTATTCTCTTAACATTTAAGAGGGTTAGGATTATACTGTTGAATATCTCATCCATTGAGCACATCCTCTGCCTTATCTTCTGTTTTCCTCCTATTCTCCCTCTTGGTACTAGTTATTTCCAGGCTCTTTTGGTAGCTTCTATTTCCTCGTTATCCACATGTTTCTGTTGCAGTGATTTGTTGATAAAACTCAAGATACACAATGAACCATGTGAATTAATAAGTTTTGATGTAATTCACTTTTCACTGAGAGTACCTGTGAAAGACCTACTTTCATTTCTTAAAGATAAATTACAACTGTTAGATTTAACTATTCATGATACTTTTCTCAAATTGATAGAGTTATATGTATTGACAATGTGTGTTAAGAGCAAATGGGCAGTTTTACAAGCAAATATTTGGCATGGGGTATTGTCTTTCGCTCCTCTAGCCTGTATTTATATGGGAGTTTTTTGAGGCTGGATTACTACCCAATATAGGGTCTTTATTCCTCCATGGTATAGATATGTAGATGATGTTCTTTGTCTTTGGCCTAGAATCAGTGACCCATTTGAGTTTTTAGACAAGGTTAATGATATTGTCCCAAGTATCGCATTCAAATTGGAGTTTAAATAAATGGATCCTTCCATTCCTTGATATGCTTATCATTAGAAGTGGCGAATTTACAAATTTAAGGTGTACAGAAAGCTTACACAGGTAGACAGTTTCATACATTTTTCGTCACCTGAGTCTACCAAAATGTCAGTTTTTTCTGCTATGTTTTTGAGATGTTTGGTTTTTGTGAGCTGAGTTTATTGATGAAGAATTGAAACATTAGTTCCATTGACAAGAACTTGGGTAAGGTCCTCTGTTGTTGATCATTGTTTTGTGGGCTAAAAATCCTTTCGTTCTACTCAACCAGGCAATTTCCTACACGTAGAATATTTGACTCTGCCCTTTAGCAATGAATTTGTCCTGTTAGTTTGGTCCCTTAAAAATACTAAATATTAATGTTGTTTTCAGGTATGACTCGATTCATTACCAATATAAATAATGTAAATAGCCCAAGTTTGAATCTAAATGAAAGGTTGTTTGTATTCCCCATGTAGCTCAGAATCAAACAACATAAGTACAATATCAAAACAGCATCTTAAAGCAGTGCCCTGTTCGTTCATGTTGGAATAATAATCATCCATTGCTTGGGAAAAAAGCTTAGTATAAAATTATCATGTGTCAAGACTTCTGTTTGGGCTAGTTTGAAAATGGAATTAAAATCAATAAACCTTTAGTGATGGTCATCAGTTCAAAATTGATATTATGTTACATAAATTTATTTGTCAGTGGCCCAAGATTTAAAAATGCTTTGAAAACCTTTGATCTAGATGTATATTTATTTGTGGGTCCCTTTATTTTTGACCTCGGCTTGACTGGTCCGTCACCCCTTTCTCTTAAGCTCCTCTCGGTGTGTTGGTGAGGATTAGTGGATGACATCATGACCTGACCTCATGTTTAATAAGATTGCCCCTGTATATTTAAGGCCTCTCTCTGTCCATGTAATCCAGTTGCCTCTGAAGATGTCTTGAATAAAGATGAAAGTTTCTGGTAAGCTCCGTGCCTTTCCCTCCCGTGTGATTTTATCAATATATATATATGTCATATATTCCAGCTGAAATTTAATCAGGTCTAACAATTAACCAGGGTTTTAAATACCTGGTTGTAGTTAGTAGAACAGTTGTTATTCGAGGCTTCTCCTGGAGTGTGGAGATTTCTACTGTATTTTTTATTGTTTCTTCAATTCTGCTTCCATGTACATAATGTAAAACCTAATAGCTTATTATCTTGGTTTCTTACAGACTCTCGTACTGAAACACAATCCTTGCTTTAGGTATTATACGTGAGAGTGCCTCAAACAAACTGTCTGCATCTTGTTCAGCAACTCTAAAATGTGTTTTCGTAATTTGCATGAAGTGTTATGGGATTACAATAACTGGTATCACATCACATTTGCAGTACTTATTGCTAATTTTTCATTATATACTGTGAGGATTTTTTGCCTCGTCATCAGGAAGCCCTCAGGAAACATTTCTCCTGTAGTCGTGGTTCAAATTGCCCTACGATTTTTTTTCTTAATTCTGTTTTATATCAATGTGGAATGCATAGACTACACCATTTTATGTTCTTACAATTTTTTTTCACAATGCAGTACAGTACTGTTTGTTAATTTGATTCTCATTTTACAAAGTCTATATACCCTATTTCATTTGTTCTATATATTTAACAAATGGACATATTCAGTTTTAAAATTGCACAATTTGAAAATCAACCAAGGTTGTTTCTTATTGATTAATTGGCCAGTGAAAAATTAAAGTGATTTACGTGTGCTGCAGTATCTGCCTTCTGATTTTTTGTTGTGTTCTTACATACCAGATGTTGGGAGCTGTAGTACAACCAGCCAGTACACCATTTGTCGTGCTGAAAATAGTTAGTGAATTAGATATCTTACTCCATGCATCTTAAGTGTTAGACAGCTGATACTGATCACAACAAGAACTACAATATCATGACATTGCAAAATTAATGGTGGTGAGTATTTTTAGCCCCTATTAACTTTATTAGTTTATTGTAAACCGTAATTTGCTCTGGAGTTGTAACATTCATTTGTAGTCAATATGCCTGTACCCACAAGCACACTTTGGGCATAAAATTTTTCACTGGCAGTTGGTGACATTGATTATTGTATTTCTAACTTTCTAAGCTGATTTGCAACTTTAAATCTTCTAATTCCTATGTATGCTTGGGCTTTATTTTGAGTATAGTGTGCATGCAATTGCAGTCGGACAAAGTCCTGTCAGGCAGTTTTGCCTAACCTGGTTATGTGGCATGCATGGAACACACACAATAACATAGATCGAACAGACAGCCAGGCATGGTTGATGAGGTACTATGGAGAGAGACAGTCTGTCAACCAGGAAGAGACCTTTTTCCTTGTTCCCTGTACACCACCCTTCCCCATTGGAACTTACATAAGAACATAAGAGGAAACCTGCAGCGCCTATTGGCCTATACTGGGCAGTCCATTCTACACCCAACCCCTATTGCTCATATATCCATCCAACCTAGTTTTAGCTATCCAGCGTATTCGCCGAAGTTAATGACATGTTGTAACTTGTTCCATTCATCCACTTACCAGCCTTAGTATTCAGTGACCCACTGCCACATAGCAGTTAATCCAAACAGACCATGTCAAACTCACACAAGTTAAAATGTTTATTTTGTTGACTTACTTGTTTCACTGTCACGTTGTAGTTACTTACTCTCAGGTGATGAAACAGTAATGATTGTGTATGAAGAATATTCTTTAATTAATATTGCTTACTGCCATAAACTGGTTGCATCTATCTGAACCACGAACACACACTAAATTAAATTTTAAATCACTCTGTGGGCTGACAAAGACATGGTTCGGGCCGCTGGTTGCCCATGCCTGCTCTTTGGTTTAAAGTGCTTTCATGCCTAGATTGCCATGTTGCCAGCACTTTCAAGGAACAAACCAGTGAATACCATTAATATAATTATTTCAACCTAAATTGAATGATGAGAACCAATGTATTAGGTGCCGTATAAACAGCCTCACCATTACCGCGAAAGCACCGTCTGCTAGACACCTCGATGCACATCGTCTTTGAACTACACCATGCATCGATGATATGGAGATTTCTTAGTGGTGTCAGGAGGACAGGTATAAAAAATGATGCACAAAGAGATACTTAATTTCAATTTGAGAGGGTTGGTGATAGTTCCAGACAGCAGGGTGGCAGGAGGGAAGTGCTCGTCAATTTTGCCTCGCATTCTACTTACTGCTTAAAATGTTTTTTTGCCAACCAGTATACAAGGCCACATTTGAGATATTAACCTTACATATTACAGGGTTCTAAAATTTGAGAACAGAATACACAATGTGGAAACTCCCCATGACTGACAGACTCACCTCACATAGTTTAAATGTTGCTCTACATTCCAATTGATAAAATTGGTTCAAGTACATTGTTATATCTAGTCAGTGCAAAGGAAGGTTGCTGCCTGGTCCACTCCTGCTGTAGCTTCCACATATTTAACCATATTAGCTCATACAGTCTCAATGGGGTTCAGACTGGCTTTACTCAGTTAGTCAGCAGCTGGATGTGGTCTCTGTGTTCGGTGAACCATCACGCAACTCTGCTGACGGTGTGGATAAGGTATCGGGTCCTGAGATAAATTGAAACAGAGGAGTAGAAATCAAGGTCATACGGTTTATACTTATTAAATATTTTTTTAGCTATTAATTGTATTATAAAATGTCATAACGTTATATATGTATAGGAATATATAACAAAACTTTAACTGCATGAATGATGTGTGCTCAGGGTAGGGCAGGGTGTGTGGTCGGACTGTTGGCGAGATTACCTCTTTAAAAAATTCTAGATATTGCTCAAGTGGTGAATCTATTATTTATTTCGCCAACTCACCCACACTGTTGAGGTTGATCCAGCCACATGTTTATGGTCACATGGCTTCTTGATAAACATGTTGCCTGTTATACGTGGTGTTATCAGGTCTCCACCAGTGAAGCGCGCTGTAGAGTAGGTAGAGTTGAAAAGTTGTTTTATCGGAGAAAATAACTCTTGCCCACTAGTCAAAGTCCTCCCCACGTTTGTAACCTGTAGTCTTCCCAACTCCGTTCTAGCCTTTTCCTACAGTGAAACCCGTTGTAGTTGGTGGAATGATTGAGCAGTTGCTGTATGACTATGTGTCATATCTTGATAAGTTAAAGGTTATGGTGAATGGCATGAACTGTCCTAGAATCGTCATTTCCATATTAGAATAAACTATCATGTGCAATATTATGAGACTGGCATCATTAATACCTTCAATAAAAGCAAAAGGAGGAGGATAATATACCCACACTCTCTTCAGCCACATTCTCTTATGAACCTCTCTACTATGAATAGTAAAACTTTGATAACTCGCCATGTATGGGGTTCTGTGCCATTTGATCCCAAATTCCGACTTATCTCCCCTCTCCCCTCAAAAAATATTGGGAATAAAAATAGCTTATTATACCTATACGTATTTGCTGGTTCTTAGAAGGTTACATTTACTAATGCGGTAGAGGGGTATTGTGGGCTTACTGGGGTTTGTAGGTGATGCAAGCGAATGAGGTAGGTGGCGTGGGGATGGTGGTGGCGTGGGGGTATTTGGGTGATGGGGGTAGTTATTGGCTTACACAAACGGTATTAAGCAGTGCAGAACTTATGTATATTACTATAATTTGGTCTTTTATACAAAATAAGGGATAAATTTTAACACAAATTATTTTTTCTCCTATATAGTTCAAGTCTGGTATGTAAAAAACATGTAACTTATATTACAGTCATTCCTTGGTTATTCGTTTGTTGTCATTTCCATCAATCTTACACCTGCTGTTACTAAGCTTTTTACGAAGTGAGAATTTTGTTTATCAGTGGTTGCCTCCAGGTGTTTTTACTCATTTTGCTTCACCTCATCTATTGAGGATAAAATCTTTCACCTTTGTTAATATGGCATTTGCTGTAATCAGACATATCTGTTGCTCAATAAATGCAACCCGTTTAAATTTAATTCTGTGTCATTACTAGGGAATGGCGGAGTCTCAGTGCTCTAAGATTGAGGCGGAGGGACTTTCAGGCATGCTGGAGTGCGATGAGAAGCGGACTCCTCGGGGGAATAAAATAAAGAAAGCACAGCTACGTTTTTTGTGGACTACGGTATTGGTATTCCCTTTTCATCACTGTAATAAACCTAGCCATGCTTTAACATGCTGTCTTTACCATAACATAATCTTATATTTTGGCGAGAATTTAGTTTATCACGGTTGCCTCCAAGGAGTTATTGTTACCTTTTGCTTCTACTACATCTATTGAGGATAAATCTTTCACCTACAAATTGACAATAACACATTTGCTGGATGAAAATGGATGGAGTAACAAAACTTGCGTTTGTCAAACACAAGCACTCACACATACCCACTCATGCTGACTGACTTGACCTCACTTGCTGGCATGTTTTACCAACCATAAAGACAGTTGGAAACTTCAACATCACTCCAATTGATCTGGATGTTCTAACTGTAATCAGACATCTAAGTTGCCCCAACAATTGCAACGTTGGTTAGCGAGTAGTCTCCTTCTGGATAATGTTTTTTAATTCAGGGGAATATCACGGACATTAATATATCTGAACAATCAGCTTCCAGTCATCTTAATGTTATGAAAGTTATAACAATACTTAAAACGTTAAACCATCATCGGCTGTCGTAAGAGTTCTCTTCCTTTGATCTTTCACCCTCTACTGGTAGTCAAACAAGGATTTTTGCTTTATGCTGGATAACCATAAGGCTCACAGGGGGAATTGCATTGAGTTCTGATCCTTCATTCCTAGCCAGCATCTTTCCATCTTTTCAACAAGAACCGAGTACTACTTGTCTTTGTTGCACTCGGAAACTACCACTTCAGCACTAGCCTTAATCTTGTCGTATTGGTCCGGATAATGCGCACTGTTGTGAGGGGTTTAAACCTAGGTAGCAACTATTTCTACCACCACGTTCCACATTTCAAAATGGGTTAAAAACTCCATTTTTGTAGCTAGGTTAATGGTCTTATGTTTGCTTCCGACACTAGCATCAGTAGCACTTGATGGGCATGAAGCCATTTGGAATGGTTTGGGGTATGGGATTCTGAGCAAAAACACTTCAACTCATAAAATATATCACCAGAAAAACATTGGAAGGAAACCACTCATACCCTTCATAAAACCTAAGCTTTACCATGACAACAATTATATTTTATTTCTTACAATACCTTCCTTGCACTAAATTCTTCTTCTCTTTTTTACTCTGAAGAAAAAAATCATCCCATGTGTGTATGCAAATTAAGATATAATTTTTTGTTGAATATTATTAAATTCAGATTTAACACATGTAGGTGTGAAGGTTGTCTGTAGATAGAATGTTAGGTTGACAGAGTGTGTGGCATCTCCTTAAGAAAGAGTTACTGGAGGATCAAGGTGTCAGGGATATGCATACAGTACTGTATGTACATGTATAAGTTGATCTAGTGTATGGGTCAACCCCAAACTTTCTTTTAATTATATAAGACGACAATTCTACCCTTAGGTTTGAGGGATACTGATAGGCCTGAGTATGGGATATGATTATATAATATAACCTAGAAGTAAATATTACATTACTCTAGAGTAGAATTCACTGTTATCATATTGGGAACAGCCTTGGAAGTAATGTTAGCTAGTGTTAAGTAGCTAGCAATACCAACTGACTAGTTTTTGTAATACTGTATGTTTTGTCTTCACACTGTCTTTAGTATTTAAGCATAAGACACAGCAAACAGGTGAATGACACTATTAAGAGTGGTGCAGCGTCTCTCCTCAAACCTGCAAAATATAAACCCAGTGTGAGATTTTACTCCCTTACATTATTCTTTTTGAATCCTCACATTCCGGTATTTTCTGGGATTAGAAACACTTTCAGTTATATATCTATTCACATGCATGACGCATTATAGCATGACTGATCCGACCAAGTGTTGCAAGTCAGAAACTGCATTTTGTTTTTTGTTTTGCTCCTCTTTCTCTAGTTATTTGTTTTTAGATCTTTACATTCTTTGCTACGGTAATTTGCTTTACTTACGGTAAAAATGTTTGAAAAGAGAAATGCTAGTAACTTGAAATTCAATTTCCGACTTGGCAACAATGCCATCTACTGGTGTATCACCTTAAATAATAAAAAATTGAGACTGGTCATACAATGTGAGTGTGAAATGAATGTTTATTTGTCTGCAGTAGTATAATTACTGGAGTAATGTGGCATATGAATCCATAAATGAATGGCATTATGCCATTGATGTACAGTACAGAAGAAGGAATCTGCTGGCAAGCTAGCCTACAAGAAAGAAACTTATCGATAGACCTACAGTACCTTACCCTACGGGCGTGTCGTAAGATTAGCCTACCGTTAGGTTAAGAGCTTAGCCTAATACAGGCATTGCATAGCTTATTAGTACTACCTAATTGGTAAGTACAATGCTTATTGAGTACTAATTGGTAAATCTTTTTTCATGATTTAAGACAACAGGTGCCCCACTCATCCCCAACATGCACAGATTTCAACCCTTTAAAAATACTGCCCATGTACAGTTGGACCCACTATATGCTGTACTGTAATGCACTTTAAATTGCTCCTTCATATTTTTCTCCAGGTATCACACACCCTTGTGAGTCGTACTATGTTACATTGTATTTTTATATAATTTTTATATAGTATACAGCATATAAATTTTAATTTCTTATTACCTGAAGTCTGCAATGTTTTCTAGTTTTGTATTTAATTTTACTGTGTTGCATGACAAGAATATTATCTTGTATTCAGATCCTTGTCCAGCACAACTTCAGTTTTCTGGGTAAACTTGAAAAGGTTTAAAAAACTTTATGTCTTTCTCATTTCTTTGCACGGTACTCGGCATTTTATCTAAAAAGTATTTAGTTGTATTTCTTACTTACTTTATTTGTTGCAGCACATCTCTCTCACATTCAAGGTCAGAGAACACAACAGAATGAGAACTTCGAACAGAGTTTGAGAGGCGTAAAGATGTTGAGTGAACAACTGGCTCAGAAGGTAATGATAATGTATATGGTGAATTTGATAGGAAGATCCATTATAGGTATGACACAGAATAACACAATAAAACTAATTATCCTCCATTTTATTTATATTACAATTTACAATTGTAATTTGTTAATTCCTTTGCAAATAAATTTTTTAATGTTCTTTTATCAGCCTGACCAATTTGTGATTTTTTTATTGTGTTATGGGATGTCTTGGTAGTGAAAGTTCTTATCATTAGGTGTCAGGGTTGCTGCAGCTGACGAATGGACCTGGCTGAAAACACAAAGGAACCATAGACCGTCTAAATAATCTCAAGCAGCAGTTCTGGATGAAGAACTTATTAACTGGAAGCGGGAACAGCAGATGGCAGGAAATGGAAAACCTTTTAACCAGAATAAACTTGACCAGATACAAGATTGGTGGCGTGATTATGATTTTTTATATCATCACTGTTGCAAGGTAATGTTAACCTGTCTTAATCATCATCATTTTACAGCCATTTTATAAGCTTGCATAAAGTAGCTGCAATTACCTTATGAGCTGTTGGGTTAAACTGAATGGGATGGCCTACCTGCTCACCACTACAAACCCAGGTACTGAAGCACTGTCTTTTTTTTTTTTTTTTTCATGGGGATTAGCCCACCGGGCACAGGTCACTGACCCTTGGGGCCTGAGGCGAGAGTGTAATATATATATATTAATTCATAGTAAATAAAATTTATAATAAAAAATAAAATTTGAAAATAAAATAATAAATTAATAATGATGAGAATAATAATAATAACAACTTACTGTAATAATAATAATAAATACAAAAATGAAAAAATTTTTAAAATGAGAAACACTATATATGTACTGTATAGTGATCCCCGGTTACTGGAATTTGGTTGCGAATTACCTTCAGAATCTTTCAATTCGATTAACGAACAAAATTGGGTTAGCGAAATCCTTACAAAATCGTGTCAACATGTTTTCACCTGCTCACCAGCTGGAGTATTAGTCGCCAATACAGTAATGCGATTTTGGGGCTTAAATTAAGTTACCATTTGAGTAAATATCAAGAAGGTTGTACTATTGATAATTTTCAAGTCTTATATTAAAATTTTAGTCATTTTAACAATTATTTAACATAATTGAAGTACAGGGAACTAGTTTTTAGCATGCCAAACAGCCACTTGACTCACCCAGAAGGCGTCAGTTTGTGTCTCTGTTCAGTGGAGGAAGCATCTTGCTTGAGACTCTTGAACATAAACTATTTTATGTTTTACAGTACAATTATTGGTGATTCTGAAATTTATTTAACATATTGACAATATATAGTGCAGTGCAGTGTTGATTTAAAATAATCTTGAATTACACCAAGTGAACTTAAAATTTTATGGGTGAAATGGATGAAGCATGGGGTGATTTCTCTTTCACCCCACTGCCTTCACTTCTCCCTTCTCCTCCACCCCACTTCTAATTCCCATCATCATCATCAACCAGGAGCCTTCTACATGCACACCTCAAAGTAAGTGTACTTTACTTTTATTTTTAGTTTGTATGTAATTTTCAGTGAGCTGGTACCAATTACCAAAATCCCATTGAAACTGGTTTAGGTTGTGACCTTCTGGAGCAATTGTGTTAGATTAACGGGGACTACTTATGTTGTGTTGTCAATAGTAAGAGAAACAATTGAGACCCTGTAATTGTGAGTAGGCGAAATCAGATCAGCAACCTGGGACTTGGTCACAATTTTCATGGTGCCATATGGCAGCAGGGTCTACCATTAGACTATACATTATTCTTCCAATATCTTCCCAGGCAGTAGTGCCTCCCTGTTTAGTAGCTGCCTACTACCTATACACTATCTCAGGAAATACAGCATAGACCAGACTTTCATCAGCTGTAAGAAACCAGGGTAAAGGACCTGATAGAGAGAAGTTGCAATACCACAGCATAAGAGCTGCCATAAAGTAATTGCTAAACCATGTAGCTTGGAAAGTGGCCATAAAATGATGATGATATCAAGTGATATTAGAAGTTATACTTATAACTACACATTGCAAAAATGGTGTTATAAAACAAGCATTAGAAAAGGTAGAACAAATGAATGGAAGAGGGTTGTTTTAAGAAAATATCTGCCAATGTATGTTTTATGTGTAATGTATCTTCAATACATTTTGTAGGATATACAGTAAAAGATATTTATACAAGCTTGATTCATGTAAGGCCAACAATGAATGTGCATAGTTATATTTTTGTACTGAAAGCAAATTAAATGCAATAGAAAAAGTTGAAGGAAATAATGTAATAAGCATCAGTGCAGACAATGGGCCCACATTGAATGTTGGCCAGTATAGACAGGCAGTCCACTTGCTGTCACAATTTCAACACCGCCTGACAGTCATGAGTAAATACATTTTCTGGTTCACACGCAAATATTGGATTCGATGCTTTCTCTCTTTTTATTTTTACAAGGATTGGGTGTAGAACCTCAATAAAACAACAGTAAAAGAGTTAAAAGTTGTTCCAGGTAAATTTTGAGACAATGATGTTAAGTATGGGGCATGGGAAACCCTATATTATTATTATAGTACAGTGACCCCTCCGTTAACGAACTCATCCGTTCCAGAAGGTCGTTCGTTAACCGAAACCATTGTTTCAATGGGTTTTTGGGTAATTGGTTCCAGCTCACCGAAAATTTCCTAAATTCAACAAAAATGGTAGAAAAGTTCACTTACTTTGAGGTGTGTATGTAGAAGGCTCCTGGATGATGATGATGATGATGGGATTTAGAATGGGGGTGGAGGAGAAGGAAAAAGAGAAGGCATTGGGGTGGAAGAGAAGTCACCCCATGGCGCCATTTCACCCATAAAATTTTAGCTCTCTTGGCGTAATTCAAGATTATTTTCTTTAAATCAACACTGCACTGCATTATATATTGTCAATATGTAAAATATATTTCAAAATGACCAATAATTTGCTTGGAAACACAGAAAAAAGCGTTTAGTTGAAGAAAGTCTCAAGCAAGATGTTACCTCCAGTGAAAACAGAGAGAGACTAACTCCTGTTTGCTGTGTTAAGAGGCTGGATGCTGCGCATTAAACTAGTCACTTTACCTTCAGTTATGTTCAATAATTGTTAAAATGACTAAAAAATTGAATATTAAACTTTTAAAATTATTGAATAGTATAAACTTCTTGATATTTACTAAAATAGTAAGGAATTTAAGCCCTAGAACCGATAAATGTATTGGCGGACTGATACTAAAAGCTGGTTGCCGGTCAGTGCAAAGCGAAAAGCAACATGTTGAGATCCGAGTTCGTAAGAACCCGTTAAACAATTTTTTCGTTGACCCGAATTGAAGATCATATGGAAGGCAGTTAGATTGTCGAAATTACGTTAGCGAGGTGTTAAGTTAAGCGAGGTCACTGTATTATATTTTTTATTTGGAGAGTGCTGTACATATTGTTAAAGACAGTGTCTGAGAGCTGGAGAGCGAGGAAAATTATGCGTGAAAAACTTAAGAAGACTTCATAAGATAGTACTTTCTTTAATGAATAGATGGCAAACCGATTTACAATTTATGTAGATCTTTAGAGTTTCTTCGAGAGATGATTATACAGTTCATTTGTAAACCACAGAAAACAATATGTCAGTTTGGTAATAATATTCTTATGATCTTTAGTACAATAATTATTTTTTTAAATTATTGTACATATGATTAAACATACCACATACAGTATACTTTTATCTGTAATATACAGTACAGTAGAACGTCGATACAACACAAGATACGTTCCAAGGGAGGTCGCTTTAAACCAAATTCGCACTAAATCGAAGTGTTGTTTCAATGAAATAATTTAGTTTGGCACTTGAGAGAAACACAAAATACTAAAAAGACTGAGAGTCGACCCAGTTGCACCTCAGCCCATCTCTTAGATTAAACAGAACATTGTTTTTTGTAGTATTATGTTAACAAACACTCATAAATCAACATAGCTAAAATTATGGGACGTGAAATTGTCTGTTTACTAGTGATAAGCTGATGGGAAGAGTGGGGGGGGAGTGAGGTGAGGTGAGGTGACATGACATGTTTGACAGTTGCTGCCAAGGTCTAGTGCTTATTTATTTATCTGTCCTTAAGAGTGACTTTAAGTTTTCTCTTATAAAATGTTACTGAACTGACATGTTCTAATTAATTTTATTGCAGAGGGCTAAAAAAAATTTCTCTTGTGCAAAATATATGACGTTTACATTCAAATTATTTGCCGTCTTGCAAGGATTCTAGCAATGCAAATTACATTCACCTAACTTTAATTTGTGATATTATATAAGATAAAAACTTAAACCCTAATACCACCAAACCCTGGCTGGGAAGATGGGGGAGGTGACATGTTTGACAGTTGTGCCGAAGGTCTAGTGAAGTATTTATTTGTTTATTTATGTCCTTTAGATTGAGTTTTTGTTTTTTATTTATAAAATGTCACAGAACTGACCGGGGAGAATATAATTTACATTGCTGGAATTCTTATAAGGTATTGATTAATTTGAATATAATCAGGCTATAGTTTGCACTCGACAAAATTTTAGTAATCGTTTAGTACAGTATTTTGAGTACATGTACAGTACAGCTTTGGCCTTAGGACAGTGTAGCGTGCCCAGAGAAACATTAGGCGCGAATTTTAAAATATGATGCACCAGATCGACTCGCGCAAAATAGGAAAGATTCGCTTTAAATTAAAACATTGTCCTTAATTGTTGGTGTCCCTTTAAATCAATAATCTTAAATTGAATCGCTTTAAATTGACGTTCTACTGTACCTGTAATTGGAAAATATAAGCGATGCTACAGTTGCATATGGTGTTGACTGATATAACTCTGTTGAAGGATTGTATTTATTTATTTATGTATGTTTATTTCTATTTAGGTGTGAGGCATTAGCAGAAATAATATGGCTTAATCGCTTCCAAATAAAAGAATGTGAACGGCACCAGACAAAAATACCCATCACTCCACCTGGAGGCGTTGATATGCTGCCCACTCTGAACTCTCACATTACAAGGCTCTTGTCCTCTCTTGTCACAAGGTAAGTAATTTGGGTGTTCTGTCCTTCTATATATTTATTAGTCTATCTACTTGTGAAACAGAGTATCAGTCATTACTATCTCTTTCTGTTCATCAATCCATCTATCTGCAATCAGCTGGCTTTCATTTGCCAACTGGAAAAAATCCTTAATAAAGTTTCCTCTATACATCTCTATCCTTGCTCAGATCCTGAGGATCCTTTGCACAGTCTTGGTAATTCTCTTTTGGTCTCTCCATTTTCTCATTTTATCTTTCATGCATCCACAAACATCCATCATATAATTCCTTTTTTACATTTGGCCAAACTGTTAGTGATAGCATTTATCATTGTTAGATTTTGTATTTCTTATTGTACTGAATGTGGAAGGAAACACTCATAACCACCTAGAACTTTCATTTGTCTTTAAGCTGTGAGTGGAATTGAAAGAATGTACAGTACATTACACAAAATAGATAAAGTAAAACCCCGCTTTACGCGGTTTCACTTTACTCGTTTCCATGTTTACGCGGTACCCTGCCAAAACCGGAATGCTCACTTTCCACGGTGTGTGTACCCTTTTATGCGGAGAGCGGCGCGAGCAGGGTGCGCACAAGGTCGCCCAGTCATCAAAACATTACCGAGTTCTTCACCCGCCACCCACCACAGCTGGCCCAAGTCAGTGATAGTGATAATGATAGTGAGGATATGGACTTTGAGGGGTTTGACAAAGAGGCCCTGCAAGCCTCTGTGGTGGACAGTGATACAATTGATACAAGTGATACAGGTGAGGGCCAATAATCTGCCCTCTGCCTCGGAACCAACCCCCGATCCCCGTGTGCCCAGCCATCTTTTCTACTAATGTAAGTGTTAAAAAGCCTAATATTATTGATATTTATCTTAATTATTAATTGTGTGTGCATACCATCATAAAATTAAGTAGTTATTTTTACTACAACGTAGGTATTGTGTCTGAAAAAGTGGAGTTTGGGGGTCGGCCCGGTCTCTATTTCAATTAATCCCATATGTTGTGTTGTTCGCTTTACTCGTTTCTCACTTTACGCGGGCCGCCGTGGGTTCAATTGACCACGTAAAGTGAGGGTTCACTGTAATATGATAGACCCGGTAAAACTGTAGATATTTTTATTTTGGAACTTAAAGTTTGTGAACTTCAGGGTTCTTTGTTTGAACAATGTTAATGAGCCACAGTCTTCCTTGGTAAGGCTGAGAAAAGAGATTCAATCTCCTGTTCAGATAGTTGTATAATTTTTCATGAAATTAACTCCCTAAAGACCGCAACAGTTGTATGGTGCTGTTTAATTAATTTTCACTCTTGTTATATAGCAAAGAATTAAAAGTTATCCAGTTTTGTATTGATGTTAATGTGAGAAGATGTTGATGTTTATCTCTTTATATCCACATGTAGATTTTTTAACACTCATTTAATTTTATTGTTGCAAACACCTGGCAATAGGTTTGTTTACGTGATTGGAAAAGAAGCATTTAGAAATGTGTAGCATGTGTGTCAAGTGTTGTTGGTGAGTCTGCAGAGCTTGAAGATTTGAATTTGGTTAGTGTTTGACATGTTTGGGAAGGGTTTTTACATGTATCCATCCTTTTTAAATTTGTTCAGGTTGATGATTGTTACCTGAGTTTTAGTTTCATGGATTGACCTTATTAAACATGAGGTCAGGTCATAATCATGATATCCACTAATCCGCACACCAACACCAACACACAAGTAGAGGACCTTAAGAGAAAGGGCGACGTGACTAGTCAAGTTAAGTCAGGTCAAAAAATATGAGACCCACTAAATATCTATCCTACATCTAGCTCCAAGGTTTTCAAAGCATTTTTAACCTTGGGCCACTGACAAGAAAATTTATGTAACATATTATCAGTTTTGTACTGACCATCATTAAGGTTTATGGAATTTAATTCCCTAATCAAACTAGCTTCAACCAGAAGTCTTTCTGTGACACATGATGATTTGTAAACTTCTAAGCTTTTTTCCCAATCAATGGGATGATTATTATTCCTAACATGAACGAACTGTGCACTGCTTTCAGATGCTGTTCTGATATTGTACTTATGCTGTTTGATTCTTAGTTGCAATGCTTTCCCAGTCTGTCCAACATAATTTCATTACATTTGCTACATGGAATACAATAAACACTTCCATTTACATTCAAAGTTGGGCTATTCTTGATTAATACTGTATATTGGTAATGGTCGAGTCATACTTAAAAACAACATTAATATTTAATAATTTAAGGGACTGAACCAACGGGACAAATTCATTGCGATAAGGCAGAGTCAAAATATTCTTAAGTGTAGGAATTTGCCTGGTTTGAGTAGAATGAAAGGATTTTTTTAGCCCTTTTAAAACAATGATCAACAAACCCTGAAGGGTACCCAAGTTTTAGTGCAATGGAACGAATGTGTTTCAATTCATCGTCAATAAATTCAGAGTCACAAATACGCAGACATCTTAGGAACATAGCAGAAAAAACTGACATTTTGGTAGACTCAAGGTGATTCGATAAAAAGTGAATGAAACTGTCTACCTGTGTGGGCTTTCTATATACCTTAAATTTATAGTTTTGGCCATTTCTCATGATAAGCATATCAAGGAATGGAAGGGATCCATTTATTTCTCTTTCAATTTTGAATGTGATACTAGGGACAATATCATTAAGCTTGTCTAAAAATTCCAATGGGTCACTGTTTCTAGGCCAAAGACAAAGAACATCATCTACATATCTATACCATGGAGGAATAAAGTCCACTATATTGGGTAGTAATCTAGACTCAAAAAACTCCATATAAATACAGGCTAGAGGAGCAGAAAGACAATTACCCATGCTCATGCCAAATATTTGCTTGTAGAACTTCCCATTTGCTCTAAACACATTGTCAGTTACGCATAACTCTATCAATTTGAGGAAAGTATCATGTTCAATAGTCAAATCTAACAGTTGTAATTTATCTTTAAGAAATGAAAGTAGGTTTTTCTGATACTCTAGTGCAGGGGTCGCCAAACTTACCGGGCGAGGATCCGCCCGCGACGTCAGTTCATCAGGCCCGCCGACGGTACTTGAATTTGCTTGATAAAACGTATGGAACACGAGACGTTGTGATACAATTTAAATTTAAATATTATGTTTAGAATACTAGGAGATCTTCACGCGTAAGGAGACCTCCTGACTGCTATGTGCCTTAAATTTACTATTTTCAATTTTAAATTATTGTATCTAGATTTTCTTGTTTATTGTAATGTTTGCTTATTTCGCGCCATCCCAAGTCCTTCCCCGGCTCGTGCAAGTATTGAACAGAATGATTATGCGGCCCGCGCTCGTCATTCTTTCAGTTATCCGGCCCACTGTGAAAAACGTTTGGTGACCCCTGCTCTAGTGAAAAGTGAAATTACATCAAAACTTATTAATTCACATGGTTCATTGTGTTCTTGAGTTTTATCAATATTTTGACCTGTCTTAACTTGACTAGTCACGTCGCCCTTTCTCTTAAGCCCCTCTACGTGTGTGTTGGTGTTGGTGTGCGGATTAGTGGATGTCATGATTATGACCTGATCTCATGTTTAATAAGGTCACCCTGTATATTTAAGCCTCTCTGTGTCAATGTAATTCAGTTGCCTCTGAAGATGTCTTGAATAAAGACAGAAGCTAAGGTGCTCCATTGTTTCCCTTTTCCTGTGTGATTTTATCAATATATATATATACAATCAACACCTCAACCCACCAGGATTGAACCCACGGCCCACAGCCCATGACTGTGACAGATTTGGTAAACGCGTTACTCTGACCATCAACGTGATGGGTAGTCCCCATTAGAGGTTCCGCGGCGCCGCCAAACGTTGAACAGGCTTTGTGTGAAATATAACAGAGTCTAGGACTGCTTTTAGTATCCTGGTGGTCCAGCAGTTAGCGTTCCCGGTCACAGTCATGGCATGGCCGTGTTCAACAGTAATTAGTGTTGATTATGTATAAATCCGTGTTTTGGGCTAATGAAAATATATATATATATATATATATATATATATATATATATATATATATATATATATATATATATATATATATATATATATATATATATATATATATATATATATATATATATATACATACATACATACATACATATATACATATACAGTATTACCCTCGCAGCGGTTTTACCAGCGTTTTATCCATATACGCCAGTGCCTGCCAAGTGAACTTTCACTTGCACGTATTTTTTTCCACATATCACAGCGGTGAGTGTCGCTAAGAGCTATTTTAGATTTGCCCACCCACACCCTGCCTGACTGCCTGTTTTAGCTCATAAAATTCATACAAATCACCCGGTCAGAATATAATTTACATTGCTGGAATTCTTATAATTTGATGATCATTTTGAATATAAACATCATATATTTTGCATTAGACATACAAATTTTAAATAAAATGTTTTCTGAGTAAATATGTTATCTTTTGTGCAAAATATATGACATTTATATTCAAAATATTCCTGGTCTTACAAGGAATCCAGCAATGTCAATTATATTATCCTAACTTTAGTTTGAGGTATTATTTATTAAAATTTAGTGGTTATCCCACACATCTCCTTGGGACGGTTGGTGGGGGGTGGGGAGGAGGGAGGGACCGACCGACCATCTGTTACCCTGTGAAGAATTATTTTTTTTTTTATTAACTGAAGATATTTGTTTTAGCTCATAAAATTCATACAAATTATCCGGTCTGAATATAATTTACATTGCTGGAATTCTTATAATTTGATGATCATTTTGAATATAAACATCATATTTTTGCTTTAGACATACAAATTTTAGATAAAAATGTTTCTCAAATTAACTATGTTATCTTTTGTGCAAAATATATGACATTTATATTCAAAATATTCCTGGTCTTACAAGGAATCCAGCAATGTCAATTATATTATCCTAACTTTAATCTGAGGTATTATTTAATACAAAATGTTAAAATTTATTTTTTTCACCCCACATCTCTTGAAGGGAGGATTGGTGGGGGTGGGGGGGAGGGTTGGGACTGACCGCGCGGTTGGAAGAGGGGGGAGGCAAGGTGGGGTACTTTGATTGACAGATAGTGTCGTGAAGATGATTTTTTTTTTATTAACTGAAGATATTTGTTTTAGCTCATAAAATTCATACAAATTACCCGGTCAGAATATAATTTACATTGCTGGAATTCTTATAATTTGGTGATCATTTTGAATATAAACATCATATATTTTGCATTAGACATACAAATTTTAGATAAAATTTTTTCTCTGGGTAACTATGTTATCTTTTGTGCAAAATATATGACATTTATATTCAAAATATTCCTGGTCTTACAAGGAATCCAGCAATGTCAATTGTATTATCCTAACTTTAGTTTGAGGTATTATTGATTAAAATTTAGTGGTTTTCCCCCAAAAATTTCTCAGAGAAGGAAGAGCCGGCAGTGTAGTGTGAGAGGGGGAGGGAGTTGAGTCCATTATTTGAATGGACATTAACTTGGCGACTGTATTTCTCTATTTCTCTTAAGTATTAATTGTGTGCATGTACCATCATAAAATTAAGATGTTATTTTTACTACAACATAGTTATGTGTCTTCAAAAAGTGGAGTTTGGGGGTCGGGCCGGTTTCTATTGGAATTAATCCCATATGTTCTGTTGTTCACTTAACACGGGACCCTCTGGGTTCTATTGACTGCGTTAAGTGGGGTACAACTGTATATACATTGGTCCCGCGTTTAACGAACACAGTTGGTTCCACATAGTCGTTTGTTAACCGGAAATTTCATTAACTGAATCCATTATTTCAATGGAATATTGGGTAATTGGTTCCAACTCACAGAAAAAGTATATATACAGGTACTCCTCTACTTAAGAACGTTCAACTTACAAACTTTCAGAGATACAAACATCATCACTGAGGGGGTTACCTGCCAGAACAGGTGTTTAATGTGGATGAGACTGGATTATTTTGAAGAAAATTCCAGATAGAACAAACATTACCTAAGAGGAGAAGAGTGAGCCAGGTTTTAAGGCTGTATTAAAGGGTATAGCTGTACTAAATATCCATAATCTTTTCATTTTTTACAATATGTTTGGTATTTACAAGAGTAAAGTTGGACTTACAAACAAGCCTCAGGAACATAACTCGTTCGTAAGTAGAGGAGCACCTGTACAAAGTACTGTATACCGATAATAAAATTAACAAAACATTAAATATAAACTAAATACAGTACTGTACAGTACAGTATGGAGTACTGTATAATAATAAATAAAAAACAATAGAACACAATATTTTAACTTAGTTTGAGGTGTGTATGTCGTATTCGTGGCAGCTTTGTTTACATATCAAACAGCTGATTGTAGAGGCAGTCGATGATGACATGCCATATACCTTTACAAAGTGCCTTGGTTCTAATGCTTTCTTCATGTTTCATAATAATTTCTGCACTGTATATTATCAATATGTGAACTAAATTTCAGAATGACCAATAATTTTAATGTAAAAATGCAAAAATATTCAAGAGACCAACAAACTGGGTGTTCACTCCACTGTAAACCAACTGATAAGCGTTGGTTGGTGATTCGATCAGCTGATTGGCACACAAAAACTGTTCCCTGTACTGTATATATTATCAACAGTTAACTAAATTAGAATGACCAATAATTTTAATATAAAAAATGCAAAAATATTCAAGAGCACAACTTTCTTGATATTTACTCCACTGGTAACGAATGTAAACATAGAACCAATTACTGTATTGGCGGACTAGCCGATCAGCTGATGCGCACAACAAAGCGTGTTTCTCGTAAGGCTGTCGTTAATCAAAGTATTGTTCGTTAATGGAATTTAAAATCCTTGTCGGAGCTAATTCGTAAACCGAAATTTCATTAATTGGACCTTTCGTTAATGGAGGGACCGCTGTGTGTATATATATTGTATTTCGCGAGTAATATAGACTGGAAAGATTGCGCCAAATTCAAATTTGCCAAATGCAAATCCAAAAACTAATGGGGAAAATAACAGTATAGACTGGCCACTCTACATCAACCTCTGATTTTCCTGATTATAACCTCCAAATGATACAAATTCTGCCTTTATTGACCTGATTGTGCTTTCCGGAAAACCAGTAATCTTTCTTATCTCACTAGTTTTTAGGCTTTCCTCAAGTAACTTAATCACACGCTGCTTATCCTGCATCGAGTACTTGGCAAACTTAACTCCCTTATGATAGTCCCGCTTTACCTTTTCCTTATTTGACCGCTTAGGTGGGTCTTCCCATCCCCATCGGCACCAGTAGGACCCCCAGTAGAGGTAGAGGCCATTATCTTGACTCGACAGTTGGTAGCACCACCAAAAAAGGCACACAACAGCAGCCCGGGCGATCGGTAGGATGGCGAGGGAGTAACTGGTATCAGGGCTGTGACATCATACAAGACGGTGGCCAGCTTTTCCGTCTCGTGTACCGTGAGATGATTGCCAAATGGCAACCCAGTATTTATTTATTTTACTTATTATAATTATATTTATTTACTGTATCCTTCACATATATTGGTACAGTATAAAGGCGACACATTTCATCCGGGCAGTCATGAAACTGACTCAAGAGAAGTGCGTGGCTGCTGCCTGTATTCCCTGACGTCACACGGGGGGAGGGAGAGTGCGGCTGGCCAGTTACCAAAAAACATACTTATGCTGCAACATTAAATATTACAGCGTTCAGCTGGCTGGATCTCACGAAACTCACGATATTTTACGCCAAATACAAAACTCGGTTATATTAGGTAGTGCTCTCGAAATGATACCGCGTGAAGCATGAGATCTTACTGTACGTAAAACCTCAATAAATTGGACTTCAATATATTGGGTAACGGAAAACTGTTCTCGGAAGTTCCAGAAATTGCCCATTACATCATCTCTCGAACCCGGGAAAATATCCCTCATCCCCGTAATTTTCCGGTTTAACAGAAAAATGTTCTCAGAAGTTCCAGAAATTGCCCATTACATCATCTCCGAACCCGGAAAAATATCCCTCATCCCCGTAATTTTCCGGGTAATGGAAAATTTTTCTTGGAATTTCCAGAAAATGTGCCTGATTTTCATCTCTCAAACCCATAAAAACCTCCCCCATCCCTGGAATTTTCCGAGAATCGGGGAAGTTTTTCAGAATTTTCAGGAAAATTACGGCTTTGGGAACAATTTTCCGAGGGCCACATTTTATCCAGTGTTCGTAGTTTGAGTTTTTTAATGTTTGAATTTTTATTAAAGAATGCATCCAAAATTTAAGGAACCTACTGTATATATATGTACTACACAAAAATATTTCTCCTGTTTTAAGACAACAGGCATATGTAGGACACACACAACCCAAATATGTACTATACGTACTCGGTTTTCATTTGAATCAATTCTTTTATTTTCAGTATGTCTTTCACTGTTTTTCCCACTTTACCCCATGTACTTCCTCATACAGTTACCAGGGTACTGTCTTCTTACCAACTAGTGTTTTAGTTTATGTAATTTGCCTTCTGCATGCCAAACATAACTTGTTTTAGCAAGTATCTGCAACATTTAGACTTAATGTACTCACAACACACAGTTTGTAATGATAATGAAGAAGCTATTGACTAATTGTATCTGCATACACTCTCTTTTTAGCACATTCATCATTGAGAAACAACCACCCCAAGTGATGAAAACAAACACCCGGTTTACAGCAACAGTACGGTTGTTGGTGGGTGGCAAACTCAACGTGAACATGACACCCCCTCAGGTTCGGGTATCCATCATCAGTGAAGCACAAGCCAATGCACTGTTAAAGAATGATCAAATGAACAAAGGTGAACAGTCAGGAGAAATTCTTAATAACACAGGAACCATGGAATACCATCAGGTAGGGATGTAATTAGGTTAGACCAAGGAGGTTGAATGGATGGAGGCTGTGTTCGCTGTGTATGTAACAGAGACGTGTGAAGCCAGGCCGCCATCATGGTGAGGGCAACACAGCCACAGTTGCTGCAGCTACTTACGAACAAACATTGGTTGTAGATAACTCTGCAGGGTTTATACTATTGTTTTATTTATTATGCACATTATAGAGGGATGAACCAAGGAAGATGAAGTCACTGAGAGAAAAGCTCTTCCATATTAGTCAAGGCATCATTCACACTCAGTGACTTCACTTGAGGCAGTGGGTGCCGCCTCCATCCATTCAACCTCCTTGGGTTAGACTATCTTGACAATACCAGTCTTTCACTCCACTTGTGTTCCTGCTGAGGAACTGTTTCACTGTTGTGCATAAGTGTTTATCCAACTTTTTGTTTTGCAGTTTGTTATTTATATTTACCCAGTTTTATATACAGGTGCTCCTCTACTTATGATCGAGTTACGTTCCTGAGGCTTGTTTGTAAGTCCAATTTTACTCTTGTAGATACCAAACATATTGTAAAAAAATAAATGATTATGGATATTTAGTACAGCTATACCCTTTAATACAGCCTTAAAACCTGGCTCACTCTTCTCCTCTTAGGTAATGTTTGTTCTATCTGGAATTTTCTTCAAAATAATCCAGTCTCATCCACATTAAACACCTGTTCTGGCAGGTAACCCCCTCAGTGATGATGTTTGTATCTCTGAAAGTGTGTAAGTTGAACGTTCTTAAATAGAGGAGCACCTGTATATATAAACTTTCAGATGCATTGTAGAAGTAAATACAGCATTTTTAAAACTGAACCACAGTACTGTACTATCTCATGTTGATTCATTGAGTCCTTACATAGGTATTTTGATTTTAAATGAAAAAATTTGGTAATGGGGAAACTGCAGGACTGATAAGTAAAAGATATTGGAATGCGAAAAGTACTTTTAAACAAGCACCTGAACACACATATTAACCAAACAATTGTGAATCTGGAGATTTTTATATATTTTTTTAAATCAGAGAAATAATAATTCTACTACTGTATAGTAATATTACATGAATAAGGGAATACTTAATAAATATTTTTTTATTTATTTTTTTTTACTTTTTTTTCACCTTTAATGAAATAGATATGGTAGTACAATAATTATACTTGCTCATATAAATTAAATACAAGTTACAAGTATCCCTCAAGATATGAAAGCTTGAGTTATGAAAAATCACTTTAGCAGATTCTGAAAATTTTGTAATGAGTTATGAGATGTGGGAGTTTCCAGAGTTAAAAACTTGGAAGGAAATGTAAAAACCTTTTCCAACCTCCACTATAGTAAATCTTTAACTGTTGCTTACAAATTCAAGGTGGCGGCACACTGGGCACCTTTTTCCCAACATGTTGGCTGTTTTTGCTGGCCGCTGGTCTGACAGCCCAGCAAGCAGCAGGATTTCACCTGTTGCGAGAAATGGACAATGGTTTGACTGCGAGCTTTGCTGGCCGGATTTGTGCTCAAATGACCTTCATATTAGGTATTGAATATTAAAATAAAAATTTAACTGAATCATTAAACAAAAATATTTTTAAATATAACACATAAAACGATGACATGTTAATATTTATTCGTTACTTTAGAATTCTTTCGCGTTATTAACTCATTATTAAAGGTCTTCTTTGACCAGCCAGCCACCACCGCTTGTAAACAAACTTCACGATGGCTTCTTTAGCTTGTGCAGATGCCATACTTGCTTCAGCAATTGAAGAACTGTAGCACAATCCTGCAAGGCCTCAACTGTTGTAATGGGCTTCATGACGAACCTTGTCTAGATGCTTTGTTGTTGTTTTGGTTGCATTGGGCAGATGTATCAACAAAACATCCCAGTGTGACGAAAATGACTTTGTTTTGTTGGCCAGACCCTTGTTGGCACAGCACAGTTGAAAGGAAAAGTGCCCACTGTGCTGCCGCTTTAAGGAACACATTCCACTTTTAATTGCATCACTTCAAATTAACCTTTGTTTAAAAAATTTCTTTCCACCATCACTACTTTGAACAGTACCACACTTAGTGACAGAGTGCACCAAACATGATAGTCTGCTGCATCATTAATTCATATTTTCTTAACATAGTTGTTGTTTTTCTTTGTTTCCTGTGATAAATGTTTAACAATTCAATAATTTATCTTAAAATGTTTATAACTGGTTAATACTTACAAAAGGAATGAAAATAGCTAAGAAAATATCATAAGCATTAACCCTTAGTCTACTCTGCTCATGGATTAACCCATGTTGTATGCACCACCTCCACACTACTTTCACAATTCACATCAGCGCTCTGACAAACCATTTAAATTTGTATTCCAATTTTATCCAAAACAGTGCCAAAATCTCATTTCCAGATAAAGTAATTGTCCCTGTGGACATAGGATACATTTGGAGGGAGAAAAAGACGGAATATATTGTCTATAATGTAAATGTCAGGAAGAGAGTCAGAAAAAGGATAGCTAAGGTAATTGTTATAAGTAGGCATTCCCCAATTTACAAAAGGGTTCCATTCCTTAAAATCCTTTTATAAATTGAATTGCATTTTCCCCTAGACTCCCAGTTCCCATTACATAACATGTTTTTATTGACAATTTTTAGTGTTCACCATGCTTATAAGCCAATAATAAACATAATAAGTGAAATACATACAGTACAGTCTCAGTAACAATTATACTATATACTGTACCTGTTCTGTGCTTAAAAGAAATCAGATGAGATTGGAAACAAAGTGAAACAGTATGAAATGCTAAGCCAACATCCATAATAATTATATTACCATAGTAATACATTGACTCCCATTATTTAATTGGTGATACTTTCTTTTTGGGGAAAAAAAATCTTTTGACTCCTGATGAGTTATTGTGCCATTCTTAATTCCCGCTGCTTTGTCTACATGGCACGAACGCTGCCGTAAGTTAGCTGTCTCTACCGTACACTCCTGCATTCTTATGTGTTGCCAGCAATATGTACAGTCAGCCAAAGATGCACCAACCCCATCCTGGGTCTCATGCTCGCAATTTTACCTGGCAATACTTGGTAAAGTAAGGCTGTATATAAAGGTGATTGTGATTGGTGGATCTCTTTTTGGCTGTATCACTGTCAGGATAAATATTAAACAAACCAAAGGTAATTTTTTTTTAATAATAAACTATTCATTGTTATTTAAGGTCAAGAGAAGTTTCCAATTTTTCGTATATTTGCGTAAATAATGAAGAAAATTTTATTTATGAATTGGCAACTCAACTACAACCACAGCTGCCACAAGATTCTTACATAAAATTTTCTTCATTATTTAAACAAATATAGGAACATTTGGAAACTTCTCGTGACCTTAAATAACAATGAATGGTTTATTATTAAAAAGAAAAATTACCTTTAGTTTGTGACATCCAGCATGCTGCTGAACGTCTCGCCCAGCATCGCGGTGCGGCAGATTTCAAGGCTAGTTCTGATTGGTTTTGGCGGTTTCGTAAACGCCATGGCATCAGTAATAAGCCCGTGTGTGGTGAGAGTCTCAGTGCAGATCTTGAGGTTATAGAGCCTTTTTGTGAGAAATTGAACGAACTCATTCAGTCTGCCAAATTTGAAAAATTTCAGCTTTACAATGCAGACGAAATCGGGTGATTTTGGAAGGCAGTTCCAAAGAACACACAAGCGGAAAAGAAATCTTCTAGCCAACCTGGTCGGAAATTGAATAAACAGAGTGTGTCTGGGCTATTTTGCGCCAACGCTGATGGCTCACATCGGTTGAAACCTGCGATGGTGGGGATGTCGAGGCAGCCTAGATTGTTAAAGGATGTAATGCATAAATTACCAGTGTACTATTATAATAACCCTTCTGCTTGGTTCACCCGCGATATTTGCTTGGACTGGTTTCTGAAAACTGAAGTTGAAATAAGAAAATTTCAAATAGAAGAAAAGGAAGTGAAGCCAGAGGATGTGAAAGCCGTTATTTTGTTGGATAATGCTCCTGCGAATCCAGATGTTGAGAGCTTGACCAGCAGCGACGGCAAAATAAAGTGTATGTTTATGCCTCCCAAAACAACATCTCATATCCAGCTGATGTATCAAGGCTGCTGTTAAGAGGATAAGCGAGGTGAGCGTACACTTGAAAACATACGCTCATATAGCATGAAGTCATGTGTGTTTAATCTAGCCAGAGCATGGAAAAATATGAAGCAGTCAACCTTGCAAAATTGCTTGAAAAAACTTTTGAAAGAATAAGAAGTTGAGTTTGATTTTGAGGGGTTTGAAAATGATGATTTTTGTGAATGCTTACGTCTTGCAGGGGAGCATCAAGTTTGTTCTAATGACATCAGTGAATGGTTGGAGGCTGATGATGGCGACCCTGGTTACCAGATACTGTCAGAAGCAGAAATTGCTGCCAGTGTTCAGAATCAAGGCGATGATGAAGATAATGATGATGTTGAGACGAGTAACTTTAAAGGTGAAAAGCTGTTTGATATGCATGACTGGATCGACCGTATAATTGGACACATAGATTACAGCAATGATCCTGCCTTCCATCTGCACTACGAACATTTACGTACATTGAGAGTTGATTATAAAAGGGCAAAATCAAAAATTCAAACAGGTGAAGATTGATACTTTCTTTAAACCTAAACCCTCTAAAACACCATCATCAAGCGAGCCTGGGCCTTCTACCTCAGCTAGCCCTCAACCCTCCTCCTCAGCTGATGCTTCGAATAATCATGCCGATGATCCACTTGTCATGTCAATAGACGAGGGTGATTCAGATAAGTAATGGTCTACATAAAACTACAACACAGTGGCTCTACTGTACAGGCATTCATGGAAGGATTATGGTACTGTAAACACTATTTTATTCTTTTCTCCGGTTTTTGGATATTGCTTATGTGCCGTACAGTATACTTCATTCAGAAAAGTTTTGTAATTAAAGTATTATGTTCTTTGACTTTTCCTTTTTTTATTCACGGTTTCTGTGCTGGTTCATATTTATTTACTGAAGTGGTTAATGTTTTAAAGCAAATGCTATTGAAATATGAATGGCAAATGAACAAAAATGAATAGAGGGACTTAAATGAGGTAGGTTAGGGATAGGTACAGGTACCTTAAAAATGTATGTTTTATTTCCGTAGTCTTTATTTACTATTAACCGACCTTTCAGATTATCCGTTGGCCCCTTCCCCCCATATGTGAGCTGTTAATCGAGGTTTTACTATTCTTTTCATCTTTTCAGTAGATGAAGCTGCAGATGATATGGCTTCCATTGACCATTTTTTGGACACCGGGATGCAGTTTTGTTCAAAATTAGAATAATGCAATTGACTAGTAACACCAAGCTGGTTTAATCACAAATTGGTGTCATCATCAGGCTGTGCAGATTAGTAGAGCCCAGTTGCTCGACCATTCCCAGATTAGGGGCCGGCAAGTGATTTTTCATGCTCAAGTGGTCTGGCACTTGCCTTGCGGACAAGTTGATATTGTGAGAGTTAAATACCTGGATAAGAATTTATCAGATGCTGTGTAACCACCTCACCATACATGCTTAACGTGGGAGGTTATCAGTGTACAGTACACTGTATTGTGCCAGGATTAGTGACATATGTGAGGTGCAAATAATTTACCTCTACATTAAGACGCTAAGTTGCCTCTCTTGTCAGTCGGTCAACTTGTCAACATTTCTAAGGAACCACCAAGCTGAGAGAGGCTGTGGTCGTGAGGTGACAGGAGTTATGACCTCATATGGCAAGTGTTACTGCCATTGCCATCAGATTATGGGTAGGTGATCACAGGTGCTCCCCCCCCCCCCCCCCCCCCTCCCACACACACACACCTGCACACACTGCAGGTGTTATGACATCACATGACAAGGGTTACCATCACTGACACCATTTAGACGGACACAAGTGATCTGTCATACACAATAAATTTTAATGTTTTCAGATGTTTATTTAATGTTTTCCTTAAAAATCTGGGCAAGTAAATTACTGTACAGGTACAGTAGCTAAAACAACTATCTGTGCATACTTTGTGGGAAACAAATTTCGGAGCATATCGATCCCCATCTGCACAGATAGTTGTTTTAGCTACTGTACCTCCAAAAATTTGTCAGGGCATGTAAAAAAAAAATAAAAAATCCAGGCAAGTATATGTTCCACATGATCTGCACAGCCTGATCATCATCACCACTTTATGGCCATTTTCGATACTTACGCGGGTTATCCATGATTACTTGATGGTAGCTTTCCATTTTACATGGTCTCTTGCAGCCTCTCTTGTCAGGTTTTTAACTCTATTTTCATTTATTACAACGTCGTCTCATGTTATATTCAGTTACTGTATTGTTTTTTTCTTGATGAAAGGTGTTGACACCTGAGATGTAGGGGTTGTTGGTTACTTAAATATTTAATGATAACTGTGTTCTGATCTTATTGTAATATGTGTCAGAAAGGGTGAACATTTTGTCATTATGCTTTAGACATGCATATTGATGAAAAGACAATAGGTTATGTGAGAGTGTTGGTAATAATCACAATGTACCATTTGTAATTTGCCAAGTTTTGTAAGTTAAGACTTATATAGTGTCTACCCCATATTTATGGTATTAATTAATATGTTTTTCAGACCAATCGACAACTATCAGTGAGTTTCCGCAATATGCAGTTGCGCAAAATCAAGCGAGCAGAGAAAAAGGGTACAGAGTCAGTTATGGACGAGAAATTTTCCTTACTCTTCCAGTCACAATTCAGTGTTGGTGGTGGCGAACTTGTTTTCCAAGTAAGTAAGATATGAAAGCAGGAAAATGCTTGTAATATTTTTTCTTTACTTCAAGGATATAAGTGTATGTTGTGCGGTATAGTCGGTCCTTGCTATATGTGAGGGTTGTGTTATTGAGAAAGCCTCCCCAATACTGAGTCAGCAAATGCTGAAACCTTGGCTAGGGACCTGATACTACTCAACACAGGGGGGGGGGGTGGATGGTAATGTTTAAGAACTATGAATACAGTAAATAGGTTTCCAATAAATTATAAGGAATAATGTTTTTTATTCATCTTTGATGATGATGATTTGAGGCATTCTGTGTAACAGTGATGAGGGTGCTAAGTTTATGTTTCAAGAAGTACATCAAACTTAAAAAAAAAATTAAATAGCCTTAAAATCATCAAATGCTTACTAATTCTGATGATTGTCTCATTTTAAGTTATTTTGTCATAGGAAATATTAATTGCAGGAATAAGAAGCTAACTAGCATGTACTGAAAAAGATGATTAGTAAGCTAATATTTTTCATGTTTCAAGATAACAGTTTCACCCCCAAAATTCATGAGAGTTCAGTCCCTTTAAAGTAATGTCTAAGTTGGCCCCTTTCCTTTTTTTTTCTTTCCTAGACAGGTATGTAAATGGTAATAAGTAGTTTGACACTGTGAGTTGAATAAAAACAATGTAAATTTGGTAAATTTGCATTTTCAAGCAATATGGCTCTCGAGTTGAGCAATATGTTTTTCCAATGGTTTAGACAATTTTAATACACTTTTCTTCTATGACGTTTCCATCGCAAATGACCTAAAATTACCTAACCTAACCTCCTAACTGGGGGCTCTGCTCCCCAGGATCCCCTGGTATATTTAAGTCTTTAGTGAGGGAAACATCAGAGAATAAATGTGTCTTAAAATTGTCTAAGCCATCGGAAAAACACAGTTCAACTTGAAAGCCATATTGGTTGAAATTGCAAATTTACCAGAAATTCATGTACAGGTGCTCCTCTACTTAAGAACGTTCAACTTACAAAATTTTAGAGATACAAACATCATCACTGAGGGGGTTACCTGCCAGAACAGGTGTTTAATGTGGATGAGACTGGATTATTTTGAAGATAATTCCAGATAGAACAAACATTACCTAAGAGGAGAAGAGTGAGCCAGGTTTTAAGGCTGTATTAAAGGGTATAGCTGTACTAAATATCCATAATCTTTTAATTTTTTACAATATGTTTGGTATCTACAAGAGTAAAATTGGACTTACAAACAAGCCTCAGGAACGTAACTAGTTTGTAAGTAGAGGCGCACCTGTTTACAGTATATGAGGAATGAATAAAAAGTGCCCCCCTTCCCTCCTTCTCTACGCCTACGCCTCACTCCCTCGTGAATGCTACAGGTCAGGGGTTGCAAATGGGGAGTTGGTAGTATACATTTACTTTAGAAAAAAGAAAATGCAAACTAAAATTGGAAATGGCAAGAGCCAACTGTACTCCTTCTTTCGAGAAAGTGCTTATGGAAGGAACTATTTTTGTGTTATGACCAGTTTGTCTCCTGAAAAACAAGGGGTGGTTATAAATAATACAATATTCTATTAAATATAACATTTTGGCATGTTGTGTATAAAGTGAAATTTATTATTCTTTCATATTTCTTTTGAGGTATGGACATTGTCATTACCAGTGGTAGTTATTGTTCACGGCAACCAAGAACCTCACGCCTGGGCAACAGTTTCCTGGGACAATGCATTTGCTGAGCAAGGGCGTATACCTTTTACAGTTCCTGAAAAGGTGAGAAGAGTAGGCTGACGTAATTTAACTCGCAAATTGTATCAAAATTAGAACTTGGTTAAATTTGTAATATGGTTTGTAACCACATTGCACTTCTATAACTCTTCAGCATTTGGTATATTTTTGTGGATGTGTAATGTGTATCTGTATCTTGTATGTTCTCTTGTCTGGATGGCTACCATCTTTTGCATAGAAGAAATGTTGAATGATAATTATTAATTATTAAAAAGATCCTGTTTATCAATTCCTCCCCTTGAAATATTTTTGTTTTCCTCAGGTACCTTGGCCCCAGATAGCAGATATGTTAGATTCTAAATTTAAGTCTGCCACTGGTCGAGGATTAACTGATGACAATCTCAAGTTCTTGGCAGGCAAGGCTTTCAGGTTAGACAGGTGTGTATATTTTGTATTTTAATTATGATTAGGGAATATGATTTATCATACATTTTGTAATATGTGAATAGAATTTTATATGGTTTTCTCAAAAATTTTTTTTACCCATTTAACTAGCCCAAAACAAGAGTTGTTAAGGTACAGTATAGGATTGTCATTGTAGGTTAGTTAAGGGTTACATAGGGACTGTTTAATGTGGATCAATTTTATACAAGGCTGGAAATATGAACACCATGTGACTGGGAAGGGCTTCATCATTTGCATTCTAAAATGTGTTTAGGCCTGTTTTAAGCTTAATACCTTAATTTGTTTGCCAACAAATTGAAATGCTTTAATTTGAACTGCAGAACTTCAGCAGAAGAAAAGTAAACAAAATTAGAAATCACATTTATGGTCTTTTATTAAACCTATATATAATATCTTAGAAATTTTGGAAGGAGATTGATAGATAATAAGTCAGCTGTTTGTTGTGTCACGTAATCTTGAAATTCATGTCTTTTGCAGGAGTCCTCAAATTCAAGATTTCAATAATATGTACTTGTCATGGTCTCAGTTTTGCAAGGAGCCTTTATCTGAGCGCAACTTTACCTTCTGGGAATGGTTCTTTGCTGTGATGAAGGTAGAGTATTTTCCATCATCCAAGAATAAGTTATGCACTGTCATTTTGATTGGGATGGATATGCAAACATAATCAGTCACCCCTATATATGTATTGAGCAAGGCAGATATAATTTTGAACATCTCTGAACCTGAGAATGGGTAACACAGTCTTCCTTTTTGATGTCCTTGTAACAAGTGTACCAGATGTCATCATTTTCATAAAAAGATGTCAGTTGTATAGCTGCAGTTTTCTGGGCTTACTGATAAAAAACACCCTATGCCATGTACTTTGGGAATCATTGTTAATACTGTATTCAGATTAGACTTTCAATTAAATTTACATGCAAATAATTTGGCTCTGCCTTGTATCATTTTTCTTTTTTTTCCCCCAGTTAGATTTTCAGGAACCGGTTATTTATTTATTTATTTGTTTTTTATGAAACCAATTCCATTCCATGTAAAACTGGTAACTCTTTTCATATAAAAGCAGAAAAAAATAGGAAAGAAGAAATATTTTTTGATATGATGTCATGCATTACAGTTTTTAATACGGTCAACATGTATTTTAGCTAACAAACAACAAAGTAAGCACATTAAGTATTGGATAAAAAAATATTACTGCCCAATGGAGGGCACGAGTGTATGAGATGGATAGCCACATAAAATTTTTATGGGGCTCACCGACTGTCCCTTATAGCTTGCCAACTGAGAGAACACTGAAGTTTTCATGGTGTTGCACTATGGACAGTTGCCGTGTAGCTAATTGGTAATGGTTTATAGAGGGGGCCTACAGGGATGATTAGTTAAAATCTCAAGCATCAATCGGAATTACAGTACTCGATATTTATTTTTATTTTTTTCTCTTAAGTGACGAAGTGATGCAAATACATGTCAGTGCCAATTGGATCAGATTTTGATTGACTTGTTTTTGTCATGGTACCCGAGAGTGTTAAGAAGGCAATATCAGACTGTTGTCCAATGTGGGGCAGTAACCAGTACAAGCAATGTAACCAAACCACTACCAGCTTTTCATAAAAATCTTACTTACTCAGTGTCCATACCATAGGGAGAGAGATAATTATTCTCTCTCAATCTGTCTGATATGTGACACTAAGTTCATGCTACAGACATCCTGGGTTGCTTCATAAATTCTGTGGTTATGTACTAGGTATGCTTAGCCTTATTACATTGTGTACCCCAATACTAAATTATAGAGAAAAGCAAAGATAACTTAAAATTTTCATTGGAATTTTTGTATTAAATGCTTTATCAGCTTTAAACCACTAATGTGCGCTTCACTAGGTTCCTGTCATGAGGAATATTGTCACCCAAATTTTAAGTGTAAGAATTTATTAGAAACAAGGAATATGACTAGACTGGGGAAGTATGCAAAGGAAAAAATATGTTGACAGTGGTGTAGTGTTCTAAGTTTCCAATCAGATATTTCAGTGGTTTGATTTTTGCTTGTAATGTGTACCAAAAAAAGTATGACTGATTATCCCTGATTTCTTTTCTTGTTTTCTCTTGTTATACTGAATAACTAACATTGTGGGATGATTTAACCTTAATGAGGTACATGTATCATCGTACTCAAGGTAATAGCTCATTAAATTCAAATGGTTAAGATATTGTGCTCAAATGGTCAAGTCATTGCACTCAAACCAAGATGTCTTACTGTTTGGACTTATTCATTGTGCTAGGTGTTGGCATTTTATTCAAAGAATTAGAGTCCCAAATTATTTTACAGGTAGCTGAGTTTTGTTTTCCTTGCTCTAGACGGCTGAACATAATTTGAATTATTTGCTGCATGTACCTGGCTTGTAATTTTATTTATTTTTTTTTCCAATACTTTTGTATACTGTAATATAATTTTCATTTTTGAAAGGTTACGAGAGAGCACCTGCGTCAGCCTTGGAATGACGGGTCCATTATGGGTTTTGTTGGTCGCCGTCAGGCTGAAGAAATGTTAAAGAACTCCAAGTCAGGCACCTTCCTTCTACGCTTTTCTGATTCAGAATTAGGGGGTGTCACAATTGCTTGGATGTATGAAGACACGACAAAGGGTATGTCTGTTTTTCATGCAGTAATTATTTTTGTATTTTTAGTTCTTTTTGTAGTACAAGCTACTGGTGGCTTTTATGGTCCGGCATTCTCCACTCATCCACTTTAGTACACTTGTGTACAGCAACAGAAATCCCCCCCAAAAAATTAAATAAAATTACTTTTCAAAAATAATAAATTTTCTCAAGTATTGTCAAGTTCAAAATATCCTCCAAACCTCATTAGCTGACTTAGCCTGGGTTGGTCAGTTGATGACACAACGTTTCACATAGCATAAGAAGACATCACGTGTCCTTACATATTTTTCAGGCACAGGCCTGTATCACTTAGGCTGTCCACAGGTCTCTTTTTGTCACTTAAAAAGCATTGTGGATTCTGACCAGGTGTGCTGTCCTTAAAATGCCTCGAAAGAAGCAGAAAATTTTTGGTACCGAGTGCAGCAGTGCAAAAAGAAAACATAAGTACTTGACATTAAAAGAAAAGGTGGAAATTCTCCAAAAACTGCACTAGGATCAGACAGTGAGTAAACTCCATGACCAATATGGTAAAGGAACGACAACAATATATTACTTAAAAGGAACAACATAATAAATTACCTAAGTTTTCATCACTTTAGCGCCAAGTTAATCATCATATATAAATTAAGAATATAAAGGTACAGCCCCCCAAGTTCGCGGATTTTTATTTCATGTTTCTTATTCGCGGATGACACCCTGGATGTACCCAAGAATGTCTGTGGGTAGTTTTAAAGTTGCCGGCATTTTCGTGGCTGGGACAGGGTGCCATTCGTTCTAGAGACAGTAATTTCCTTTACCTGTATTGTAAATATGTGTGTGTGTGTGTGTGTGTGTGTGTAGACACACACACACACACACACACACACAAGTAAATAATAATGGGAAAATGCTCACACAAATAATCAGAAACAAATTTATTAAAATGTGACATTCTACCCTCAAGTCCTTTTTCTATTACAGTACTTTATTAATAGAGCACGGACTTGAGGGTAGACTCACATTTTTTATAAATTTGTTTCTGATTATTTGTGAGAGGATTTTCCAATTATTATTTATTTGTATGTGTGTTTGTGTGTACACACACACGTATACAATACGACAGGTAAAAGAAAATAATTGTCCTAAGGGCAAACAAACACATAAAGAACTATACATTTCTTTGTACACAAGTAAAAAGGTAACCCCCCCCCCCTCCCAGTCCGCAAATGTTATTCGCGGCCATTTTGAAAACCTAACCTCTACGATTTTTTTTATGGGGGGGGGGGCTGTATAATATTATTGTTGCATTTTGATTCCCATATAAAAATTTAGAGTAAATACCCGGTAAGGAAATATTGGGCTACTGGATGCTTAGTGGCCTCACTGTCAGTGCTTGGTAGAGTGAGTGACCAATTGTTTACATGGCTACTACCACTCACAAGACAGTTGTAATTACAGCATTTGGTGAGTATTTAGGGAGGAAATACTATACTCTGTAATACAATTTATCTCAACTACCCTTAAAGAATTACAGTCTTTATATTACAATACAGTATGTTGTAAACTGCTGCTGATATCTTGAATACATATTTTTGTGTGTTCCGCCTCCATTTCAATATCCTTTGAGCTGACATCAAGCCCGCACTGTGTAGGTAGAGTCCTCAAGCTGCTTCTAGCTCTTGTCTTTCCTTCACCATTAAGTATGATCTTGTAAGGAATGTGCTGATAAACACAAATTGGTTCTAGTAAATACCTGTATATGGCTTGTGATAGGTTCTTGTCATTGTGGCTCTTTCTTCAAGATACTCGCAAAATCTCACATTGTTCTTCTGTAGTTTTCATGCTATATTGTTGTTTTAGAACTTTTTTATTTTGTGACCTTCAATTTTTTGTGTACAGCAGAGCTGTCCAATAAATATCATCACTGGGAAAGTAGAATGATGAGATATAGTGTACAGTATTTTAATCCAGGTGGCATGAATTTAGTAAAAAATATATGGACTCCTGGAGTAGATATGTCAGATCTCCAAAATTATCTACTTTCTGTAACCTCTTGGTCCCTAGCATTTCAGATTACTGATACTTATGTGTATTTACCTACACAGTCTACAAGTTGAAATCCCAGGGAGGCCCTCAACTGTAGTCATTAGCAACTGAGACTAATAATTCATTAATTGGTTGCACCTTTCCATCACGACCAAGTCTCCAGAGGGATATTTTGGTGCAAAAGTTTCTTCAGCATGTAATAGTTGGGAAGATGCTCACTAGATAGATTTTTTCATCTAGATCTGCAGTGGTTACCCTGCCTTAAAAGTATATGAATAATATCAAAGAATTTTTTTTTTATTTCATTGTGTTAGCTTTATGTATCACTTTTATTATTATTATTATTATTATTATTATTATTATTATTATTATTATAATAATAGTGTTGCATAAAAACTTATTGTTCTGAAATTTTCCACAGCTGGCGACCAACGAGATGTGTTCATGCTACAGCCATTCACCAGTAAAGCCTTTGCCATCCGTCCTTTAGCTGATGTGATTGCTGATCTAAAGTACTTGCTCTTCCTCTATCCAAATATACCTAAAGAACAAGCTTTTGGAAAGTACTATACACCCATGGGAGAGCAACAACCTACAACAAATAATGGCTACGTCAAGCCACACCTGATCACTCATGTCCCAGGGTAAGTGTTAACAAATAAAAAATAAATAAATAAATCACGTATAAAAAAAAGGTGTCATACATCTCTCTTTCTGCACACATGTAACTATCTTGGTGACAACTTACACTTTGTTCCCATCCTCAACATTTTTAGGTCGCTTTTGTTTTCCCTTTTTTTTCATATACAGTACAGTGTTATCATCAAAGTTTAGTGAAGTAAACTTTCTTGTGTTTAATTATAAGAATTTTCTTTTTATAGACTCGAAAATACGTAATTTGAAAAATATTTTATACGACCACGGCCGTTGTATGTCCGGGTTGTCGTAAGTCGAGTACGTCGTAAGTCGGGGAGTACCTTATAACCTACTGTACTGTATAGTACTAAACAGTACATGATATGGAGATAGTACACTCCTAACAACATTATTTGCATTATTTGTTACTTTTGAATGATACAAGATGGCAGTGGTGGGCACGGTTCCGCTAACCGCTAATTAGCGAAGCTCACTTTCTCGTTAGAGGATTAGCGTTTTTGCTAACTTTGGAAACCATTAGTGGACCAATTAGCTTCCGCTAAATTTAGTTCCGCTAACTTTAAGTCCGCTAACAAAATTTATACATGTTTGTTCCTGTCTGTTGTAAGCATGTGACGCCGCGACGTGTGTCAAAAACAGCCAGTCAGACACGCTTGGCTGACTGCGTGTTAGTACGTGTAAATGTGACAAGACATGATTTGTCGACGCCGCGCTGCAGCAGCTGAGCGAATGGAATTTTTCGATTATTAAAGTTTAATACTTTTTTTCAGTAAATAAAGACTGTCAGTGTATGTTGAAAGAATCATAGAATGTAATTGTAAAGTAATGTATAATTTCATTTCTCATTTATTTGTTAATTTAATTAGGATTTTTTTTGCGTCAATTTATTTGGTTATGCTTAGTAATGCATAAGTTCATAACCAGGATGTCATCCAAGGTGTGCGCCAAACAAAATTTTCTAAAAACATACTTTTCATTAAAGTTTAGAGTTTTCTGTTTATTTACATGACTAAGACCAACAATAAGTTATATAAAAATGCACTGGTATAATGTGTATGTGGTTGGTATTGCATATTTCATGAATAATGAATAAGGCCGATAGGTTGTATGAGAATGCAAATTAATTATTTGTGAAATTGTGTACAGTGTACGGTACACCTTGATAAGTTGATCATCATCTGATCTTGGCATGATGCTATTTGCTACCTATGCTATACAGTACTATAGTTTTTGGATTCGTTTAATACTTTCTGTCTTTTCGTACAGTAAATAAAGATTATAAAGCTTATGTTGAAACTTGAATGTAAACTAATGTTTAATTTCATTTGTTCATTTAATTATTTGTGTACATCTTGATCATCATCTGATCTTGGCATGCTATACCTTTTTGGAAAGCTCTGTGTCTAAGCCACAAGACAACATATGAAAATTTCAGCTCTAGGTCTGTTTTTAAGGGTTTTAGAGCCCCCCCCAAAAAAACGAAGCTAAATTCATTTAATAAAAGTTGGCGGTTAGCATTAGCTTCCACTAATTTTTTTAGCTGTTTAGTGTTTTAGCATTAGCTAAGTTAACTTTTTAGTTAGCAAATTAGCGGTCAGCGAAGCTAACTTTTCGTTTACCTGTGCCCACCACTGGAAGATGGATCAGTTTAGCTACTTTTACAATAAAACAACTGATTAATAAATGCACTGTGTTATATGCTGGTGCATAATACATTACTGTATTTTTTTATTAAGTGCTGATAAATACTCTACAATATTATTTAATAAGTGCTTAAGTCAGATGTTGTGGCAAACATGACAACATGGTGAGGGACAGTGCAGGAAATCAGCTGTTTGTGCTATGTAAACAAAGCCAGCAGGAACTTAATATGACACAATAACTCATCTAGAGTTGAGTGTGGGATTTATATATTTATTTATTTTTTTCCCCAGGAAAATGTGTTATTTTACGATGTTTTATTAACCCAACAACAAATTAACCTAAATATTACTGATGGGAATTATGGTGAAATTGCACAAGAACTGTCAAAGGGATTGCTGGCTAATTAGCGGAGGAGGGGAGTTGTCTTTGCAGTCCAGCCTGCTCTCCCTCCCTCCTCCTCCACTACCTGCCGACGCACCCAGACATAGTTTTTTATTTATTTATTTTTTTTAATTTTTTTTTATTTTTTACCATATTTTACATGCAAACCCTACATTGTATAAGAACAGAATAAGGTTTTCTAAACTTTAATTTTTTTAGTGTTGGAACACTTGTGTGATTTAAATGTCCATGGTAAGGTATACAGTACAGTACAGTAGTCCAGCGAGTCATGGTGTGTTGCCAAGCTGCCTACTACTCTCAGAGACACCTCGTCTCCCACTCAGAATATACCCATACTCTCTTAAATTTTCTTTTATATTACTGTATGTATTTTAGCATTGTAGAAACTAATACAGTAGAACGTCGATATAACACAAGAGAGGTCACTTTCACCGAATTCTCACTAAATCGAAGTGTTGCTTCAATGGAATAATTTAGTTGGTACTTGAGAGAAACACAAAATACTAAAAAGACTGAGAGTCTACCCAGTTGCACCTCAGCCCATCTCCTAGAATAAACAAAACATTGTTTTTTTCTAGTATTATGTTAAAACAAACACTCACAAATCAACACAGCTAAAATTAAGGGACGTGAAATGGTCTGTTTACTAGCGAGCAGCTGATGGGAAGGGGGTGGGGGGTGAGGTAAGGTGACATGTTTGACAGTTGCTGCCAAGGTCTAGTGCTTATTTATTTATCTGTCCTTAAAGTGACTTTTAAGTTTTTCTCTTATAAAATGTTACCTAACTGACATGGGAGAATATAATTAACATTGCTGAAATTCTTATAAGATAGTGATTAATTTGAATATATATATGCTATAGTTTGCCTTAGACATACAAATTTTAGTTCTAATTAATTTTATTACAAATGGGCTAAAAGAAAATTATCTTGTGCAAAATATATGACATTTACAGTATATTCAAATTATTCGCTGTCTTGCAAGGTTTCTAGCAATGCAAATTATTTTCTCCTAACTTTAGTCTGTGATATTATATAAGATAAAACCTAAAGCCTATTACCACCAAACCCTGGCTGGGAAGATGGGAGGAGAGGGAAGGAGGGAGGGGTAGGGGTGACAGTAATATGTTTGACAGTTGTGCCGAAGGTCTAGTGAAGTATTTATTTGTTTATGTATGTCCTTTAGATTGAGCTTCTGTTTTATGCTTATAAAATGTCACAGAAGTGACCTGGGAAAATATAATTTACATTGCTGGAATTCTTATAAGATAGTGATTAATTTGAATATAATCAGGCTATAGTTTGCACCAGACAAAAATTTTAGTAATCATTTAGTACATTATTTTGAGTACATGTACAGTACAGCTTTGACCTTAGGACAGTGTAGCATGCCCAGAGAAACAGTAGGTGCGAAATTTAAAATATGATGTGCCAGATTGACTCGCGCAAAATAGGAAAGATTCGCTTTAAATTAAAACATAGTCCTTAATTGTGGGTGTCGCTTTAAATCATTATTCTTAAATTTAATTGCTTTAAATGGACGTTCTACTGCATTTCTAGGGTATTTTTATTACTTATTATATATCGGCATGAATCGGCTGCTTGCGCAATTAATCATGCTGTTCACATATATTTATTATTTGGGTTTAAGTAACGAAACCCAAATGGTAGTTCCTTGTTTTATTATAAAAGGGTTGTATATATAATTCCTGAGTGTAGATCGACCGTAAGTCTCACTGTCTAGGAGTGAATGAGAAATGGACGGCGTTTATGTATTATAAACGTTAGGTCACGTCCTTACGATATAAGTTGATGTCAGCGACTGACTGTGAGGGCCTCGCTGTGCGGGCTTACAGAAATGCTGACTATGGGACTCTTCCTCCTGGGAGAGTTGCCCGCTCACGTGTCCAACTCATGTCTTACTCATAGACAGTGGAAAGTTACAGGCTGGTGAATCTGAATATAATATCAGATGTATTGACCCATTTATATAATATGTTCTGTTGATGAGACAGGGGCCCATTACAGGCACAACATATGATGAGGACCCCTTATATACACAGTAGGGTTATCTTTTGGGGGGAAGAAAGTATCAATGCTGTAGTGTGAAGACTGAGTGGGTATAGCACTCTTCCTATTCCAAGGGTCTCTGAATCTTGCTCAGGGTACCCCCAGTCACCCCAACCATGATTGAGTACTTGATTTAAGTTGGGAAAGTGAAGGCAATAAAGTGCAGTGCCAGCCACATTACATCATTGTGTTGTTGGTCCTTCAGGTTCTTCTTTTCTGATGATTTTATTTAATTTTTTATTATATTTACAATTTTTGGGAATATTTTTTATTTTTTATCAAATAGTATTGGTAACTTGTCATAAAAAAATTTTTTCGACAAGATTAAAGGAAAAGCATGTTCTTGTTTCAGAAACAATATACAGTACAGCATTCTAGTTTACATTATGATGGGCACCTTAGCACCATCCTGGGTGATGTTGATTGATTTCAGTATGTTGGAAAAAAACACGTGTTCATTACACATGGAGGAGAGGGGTAGGACACACAATATTCACATCTCCCTCACTTTCAGTTATGTGTTGTGCATGAATGAATTATTTAACCACAGTGATATCTCCGTTAACCGGAACAATTGGTGCAGAGCACTTCCGGGAATGAGAGATTTCCGGGTAACGAGACGACTCAAACCCGGAAAAAAAATCCCTTATCCCCGGAATTTTGCGAGTAACAGAAAAATTTTCTTGGAAGTTCCAGAAATTAACCATTGCATCATCTCTCAACCCCAGAAAAATATCCCTCATCCCCAGAATTTTGTGGGTAACTTAAAAATGTTCTCAGAAGTTCCAGAAATTGCCCATTACATCATCTCTCAAACCCGGAAAAACCCTCCCCCTACCTCGGAACTTTCCGGGTATCGGCAAAATTTTCTC